GCCTTTGTTTGCCGCTCAACTCCAGGAAACCACCGGCGCGCGGAGACAGCCAGCAGGTGAGGCGCGGGGAGGGGCTCACGGTGGGTCGCGGGCGGGTGCTGGGCCCTCGCCGGGCCTCAGTTTCTCAGTCTGGAGAATGGGGTGGGGGGAGAGCGGACAGCGCCGATGGGCTCCGATCCACAGGGACTGCTCTGCTCTCGGCCTCTCCCACGTGGAAACCCCACGCGCACGGGAAGCAGACGGATCGACACTCCCGGAATGGGAGGGCGCCCCGGGCGCGCCGTCAGTGTCCAGTCCTAACCTAGCCGGCTGCTGGGTTCCGCAGTTTCCGCCGTCGGCCTCAGTCTCCACCTCCGCACAATGGGGGCGTTGGCTTTTTCTCTCCCTCTCGCTCGCTCCGGCTGGGGCTGGTCTCTGGGCCGGGAGGGGTCCCGAGGGAATCCGGGGGTGGTCCTTGGCGGGGCTTCGGGCTGCGTTTGGGTTGGAGGTGTGGCCCGGGTAGCTGTGGTTACCGGGGAGGTGGGACTTCTCTGTCCTGGGATTTCTGCGCGCTTCGTTCTCCCGGCAACAATCCGCGCAGCCTGACAACTCGGAGCCGCACGGCCTCCCCCGACACCTAACGCAAGTTTCTTTTCCTGTTTTTGGCGGGGGGGAGGAAGGGAGAGCAAGGGCCAGCAGTGAGGGTGGGCAGCTCCGACAGCGGCAGGAACTGGAATGGACCGAGAAATCGGGCCAGCCTTTCTTGGTACACGGACGGGGAGACTGAGGCCCAGAGAGGGGGCGCGTCTTACCCGAAGCGCACAGCAGGGAAGGCGCGGAGCTGGCCTCTCCCGGGTGTGATGTGGCTGGCGCTGACGGCGTGCCAGCTCGGACTAGACTCTTCCCCGTTCCTTTTGCCGGCTTTTGTTGAAAGCCATGACAGGTTGGAGAGGACCATTACCTAGGTTTCAAAAGCTTCTGCTTCTCAGTGATAAAGTTGGAAAGGAAAGTTGTTGATAACAAACCCCGGCTATTTTGGAGTTGAGAAGAGTTGCCGAGACAGGTTGCAGAGAAAAGAGACATTGTTTCTGTCCTCTAGAACAGAAGAAATTGTGGAAACCAAATCATGAAGAACTGGGGTTAGACACCTACGGGGACTTCCCCAAGAGAATTTTCCAGGCGCCGCCTCTGGAGTTGGTGGGTTTTATTTTTTGGCTCTTGGTTTTGTTTTGTCAAGAAAACAGAATCTCTGCCCATCTGTTTGAGGGGGCCTGAGTCTGGCTTAGGGGGATGGACCCCATGGTGTTTTGGGGACATTTTTAGTTTATTCTCACAGGCGGTCTCAGTTCTTCTGCAGGAGGGAGAAGGTGCCCACGTGGGGCCTTGTCTCCCAAAGTCCAGTGGTTTGCGTTTGAAACATGTGATGTGAGCCCTTCTTGCACGGGGATTTCATCAGCTCCCACCAGCCCGCACATTCTGCTAGAGGCACCAGGGTTGGGGTTAGCAGCAAGTCTGGGGATGTTCCCGGGCACTGCCGCCCTCATGCTGAGAGTGTATTTTGGAAACTAGTGCCTGCCAAGGACATTTCAGTTTACCCCCCCGGGGGTGGAGGGGGGAGGTCAGGGGGGTGGGAAGAAAGTCTTTTTAAAGCATCCAGCTGAATCACCAGAAAAATCCCAGGTCCATTGTATGTTTCCTCAGTCCTGGAAGGTGGGACAGATCTGGGCACGGGGAGTTAGAAGACCTTGGTTTGAGTCCCCAACCCAGCTTTCATTCTGAATGCCTCAGTTTTCCCCTCTGTGAAATGGGCATGGTAACACCCACTCCGGTTCAGTTTGAAGGCTGAAGTGAGGTGGAACCATAGAAAGTTTCGTTCAACCCGCATTCCATGTTTGGAGAGGAGGAATCTCAGGCCCAAAGAAAGAAAGTCATAATAGCATTGACACTGGTTATTGGTTATTGCTTGCTGTCTTCTAGCCACGGCGCCAAGGATTTTACTGCAGTGACTGAGGTCTGGGTGGGTTTTCGTCACCAGTCACCTTCCGGGTTCCCAGTATGGAGCCCTGGACAAAGCAGGTGTTGAGTGCACTGTCATTGATCTCCTCGATTCTGGCATTGAGTGTTCACATTGTTGCCATGAAGTGGGCGCTGCTATTCTCATTTTACACAGGAGAAGCCTAAGGTTCAGAGAGTTTAAGTCACTAAGCTGAGGTCACACAGCTTTTCATGGGAGTTAGTTGGTCCTTACTTTTGGATGTGCAGGGGTGAGTCATCTTGTGAGAGCTGACCGTGTGCATCTCTTTCCAGGGCTGTGCTAGTGATAGTCACATTGGTACCTTGAAATTGGCCATCATACAGGTATTTACACTATGGAACTCGGCAGATCAGGCCACAAATTGGGCGTTTTCTTTTCTTTTTTTTTTTAAGAGAGCTGCCTGTGAAGGCTGTTGTGGGCTGGAAGGCCAGCATCGCTCTGCATGGCAGCAGGAGGTGGGGGGTTTCTGACTGTGCAGGAGGGCCCCAGGGATGCCAGGCCAGAAGGCCCACACCCCACTGCAGTTTCCCCAAAGTGTGGGATTTGGGGAAGGAAACCTGTATGATAGGAGGCTCCTGGTCCCTCCTGTTGAGTCACGCAGTGCCCCACCTGTCCGACTTGGGAGCAGGTCAGTGTGAGCCAGAATTCCGGGGCCAAGATGTCTGGGCTTTAACCTGAACGGGACAACAGCCATCCGTGTTCTTTAAGCAGGGAAAGGCTCTGGGATGATTGCTCTGGATGATGCTCTGGGAAGATTTATCCAGCGCATGCAGCCAAGGGATGGGAGGCTGAGCCAGGGGCTAAGTGACTGGAAGAGGCTCAGGCTGACCTGGGATCCAGGAGGGGGCTTACAGCGTCCCTCCTGAGTTTTCCAAGTCCCTCCCGTGTGCTAGTACATGTGCAGGCATGGTGCAAACACATGGTCCCCTTACTTCATAGGCACACCCCTGAGGAAAGTGTTACCCTCTGGAGATGAGGATATCAGAGGGGTTTAGAAGAGCTACCAGATCTGGACCCAGGGCTTTCTGCCTCAACCCCGTATATTTTTAATTCCTGGGTGCCTCCTTCATTCCAGTGTACTATCCCAGCTTCTGGCCAGGTGCCAGCCAGATGCCAGTTCGGTTGTCAAGAGTGATCCCTTTCTCCCAGGCCTGGTCCCGTACCAGCCCCTAGACCCTTGCCAGCATTCTCTGTGCTGGGGCAGAGGCTGGCGATCAGGGCTGAGTGCGATGCCCATCTATCTGGCAGTCTTCTCAGAGTCTTGAGTCCACAGCCAAGGACCAAGGACCAGGAAGGACCTCAGGGCCCAGGAGGCTGCACTCAGCCCCCCTAGGTCAAGGATTCATTTGGAGGATAATGCTTTACTTGTGGGTGCAGATGCAACTCTGTCTGTAATGTGCTGTGTGACTCTGGGCAAGTTGTATGACCTCTCTGGGCCTTTCCTCATCTGTTAAATGCCTGATGACAAGGATCCAATCAGACAACACACACCATATCCCAAAATGTGAAGAGTGGCTAAGGCTAAGATCCCTTCCTTTCCCTTTTGTGATTTTCCCATGTTCCCATGTGTTGCATAATGGCTCTATGTGCAGAAAAGAGGAAGAGAGAAGGTGTGGGAAGGGAATTACAGAATGTCACAGAGCGTCAGCACTCCAAAGGGCCTCAAAGGGTCTAACCACTCTTCCTGACTTACAGAAGGAAACTGAGGCAGAGCAGTCCCAAGGTCTCATCAGAATGAAACACTACGCAGGTGTACAGTGGGGCTTTTGTTTATTTTGCTTATTGTTTTTTTTTTTTAAGAACAGTATATACTCCCGGCACTGGGGAGGCTCAGTTAGTTGAGCTGCCAACTCATGATTTCAGCTCAGGTCATGCTATCAGGGTCACGAGATCAGACCCCATGTCGGGCTCTGAGCTCAGCTAGGAGTCAGCTTGAGATTCCCTCTGCCCCTCCCCCTGCTCACGTGCTCTCCCCCACCCCAATAAATACATCAATAAAATCTTTTTTAAAAATCAGGATCTAAAAAAAAAAAATAGTTCATATTTATTTTACTCTTTGTTGTAAAGCAACTATTATTTTTCCAAAATATACATAAGGAAAAAGTAAACTTACCTGCAGTCGTACTACTTGCTGCTAATTACTATAAGTAAGCACTGGGGAGCATCTCTCGCTCTCCCTCAATTCCTTCTCCTCCTCCCTATTTCACCCTTTCGTTTTTTCTTGAAGGGATTCAAACTGGATAGAGATTATTTTATAGCTGGTTTGTTCACTCAGCGTATCACACTTTTTTACGGGACTGCGCCTTCGGCCACATTAGGACTAATAATAGCTGCGTAAAATGCCTTTGAGTGGAAACTGTCAACGATTTGTTTCCAGGATCCCCTGTTACTGGACACTGAGATAGTGTTCAGTCTTTTCACTTACTGCAAGGTTCAGTCGCAAATGATGAAGACCATACTGTCTGGATTTGGATAGCCTGGTTCAGAGCCAGCTTCCTCTCCTGTGAAATGGGGATACTAATTCCTGCCTCCTTGGATTGGCACGAAGATCAAATAATGACATCCGAATCGGTGCGAAGGGCTTCGGTAATAGGTGCACGATAAAATTGTACTGTAATGTTAGCAATGCGTTCCTGGCACCTAGGCATCGTTGTTGTTGTTGGACTCTTTTCATGGAGCATGAATTTAAGAGTGTGGGTGTCTGTATGTGCAAGTGTGTGTGCATGTGTGTTTTTTCCTCCATATGGCCACATCCTCTTTATAACCCATGTTTTGGTTGGCGGAGGAAGGCCTGCCTCCTCCCCTACTTCACTATTGGATTGGTGACCCCTGGAATCATCGGGGGGCCATAGGGAAGAAGGTCACAAGGAAATGGCAGCGTTTCTCTCTGCCTTGGGAGAGCTAGCCATCCCCTTTTCTGTGCAAGACCCAAAGTGAGGGTTGTGGCTGGTATTAGGGAAGCTCCGGAGCCAGGAAAATTAAATTCAGTCCTGTGGGGAGCAGGCCATATGGGCGTTTCACAAATCTGGCCAAAGTCATTTATTCATGAGCTCTGTGCCAGCTGGGCCATGGGCCAGGACATTAGGTACTTAGTCTCATTTATCATCCCAATGATTCTGTGAAATCAGTATTACCCCTTGTTTTACAGAAAAAGAATCTGGGGTTCAGAGAGGTTGAGCTGCTTGCTCAAGGCCACACAGCTTTCAAAGAGAACCTGGAGGTCTCTACCCACGGAGCACATGTTCCATAAACCCCTGTACCCTCTAGCCTCCCATCACCCTGGCGTTTCTACCTGTGTAGGCAAGTGGAATCAAGAACCCGCAGATTTAGCGCTAGAAGGTCATTTCTGATAACCTCAGAGATAATCTCATTAAGCCCCAAGGTTCCCAAGCTAAGGGCAAGGAAGTCCCCTGTTCGTTATGACTCAGGCTCTAACTTGGGTCTCCCCTTCCCCAGTTCTTCTTGGCCAGCTCCTGAAATCCTTACCTGCCCCCCAGACTCCCTGTGGATTTTCACTAGAGGGTAAAATCAGCAATGTGGGCTGGAGGAGTGGGTGACCTTAGGGAGGGTTTTCATTTCTTTTCCCAAGGAAGGGAGCCACCATGAATTCTGAAGTTGCCAGTCAGCCCCTGCTTTCCCCCAATGGGTGGGTAGCCTTGTGGCCCCCCTGTACCTCTGGGCCCCAGGACGTTGTGTTCAGTCCCAGGGCTTGTCCTGGGCTGCACTGGAAGGCTTGAAGCAAGGCAGACCTACCTTCCATTCTGGTTCCCATGCTGAGCCCTTAGGTGGGGCTCAGGAGGGGATGTGGAGGGAGGCCAGAGGGGACGGCTGAGTGGCGGGCAGGGGGAGTGTGGGTGAGGATGGCCGTCACTGCGCCAGAGCATCAGGACCCAAGAGCTAGAGAGAATGAGTGGCCAGAGGTTCGTTGGGCCCCTGTGGGCCGGAATGCAGGCTTGTGCCCCTGCACCAGGATGTGGGCGTGTTTCTGGTAAAAGTACTGAAGCCTGGGGGCCAAAGGATCTTGTTGTTGTTTGTTTTCATTTTGGTTGACTGGGAACTAATCGCTTCCCCATCTTTGGGCCTCAGTTTCCTTACCGGTAAATGCTATCACACTCCTGTCCTGCCCATTCCCCAAGGCTATTTGTAAAGCATCTAGTTCAAGGACAGGAGAGCCGTTTGGAAAAGCTGGTGAAAGGCTCTGTGTGGAACCAGAGCTTCATTATCAAGGTAGAACATTGGCTTAAGGACTTGCGGTTAGTGGGCAGCAAGCTCCCTCCCAATTTTATCCTGCACAGGTACTCGTTATCTCTGCAGGCCCCGGGTGGTGTAGGCTCCCAGCTTTGCTGTTAAGAGGCGGAGCTTTGTATGCTTCAATCTTCACCGGAACTCCCCAGCTTTGTGACAGCAGGTAAGTCTCTCAGGCTCTCCGGGCCTCTGTTTACCCACCTGTAAAATGGGGACGTCACACCAGTCTGCCAAGGATGTGAGGGCCACAGCCAGCCTTAGGCGACAGGCTAGAGTAGTAGATGACCCAGCATGTATCTGCTGTGCTTTTGCCATGTGGCAGGCGCTGTTGCTGGGTGCTGGGAGCTCCCAAGTGCCAGAAAGACCCGAGGTCTAATTCCCAAACGGTCCCCGTGGGGCTGAGATCCATAGGTCACCTGCAAATTCCCAGGAAGAAGTGGGGTCCGATGATGAAGGGGAGCGCCATGTGTTTGTCCCAGCATCAGCAAGGAGCGCACTGAGGAGAGGGGAGAGCGGGGGAGAGGCTGGAGAGGCGCCTCCATCATGGGTTTTCTCGGAGCAGTGGGGCAGGAGTGGAGGGTTTTTAAGCCCAGATGGACCACGTTTGCCCGCTTCTGTTTTGGAACCATCCGAGTGATGCAGTGTGTGGATTGGAAGGACCCCAGGGCTTCCCGGGAGAGGCTGTTGCAGGAGCCTTGCAGGGGTGGGGCGGGTTCTGGGGAGACTGAGGAATCGATGATGGATGGGTTTATGGGGTGTAAGAGAGAAAAAGGTCCAGAATGACAGTCGGTCTTAGGGTTTGGGGCATCCAGGGGCCGTGGGGCGTGCCCAGCTGCGGCGGCCACCTGGTGTTGCCGGGTTGATGGCTGGGCTGCCTGGGTTAATGACCGGGGAGGGAGGGTGAGTGAGCGACAGGCCCGTCAGGGGAGCCCGCCCCTCACACAAAGACCCACACGGTCACCAGAGCTGACTGGGAGGGGCCTCGTTAGGGTTTGGCTCTACTCCACGCTGGGCTAGGGGCTGCTGGTGGAGCCTCGCCACCCAGCTGTGGGAAGAAGGCAGGGAGTGGGGGGAGGGATGGGTTGACTGATGTGATGAGGGCACCAGGTTCTAGTCCTGGCTTTGCCACATACTCACAAACTGACCTTAAAAAAAAGCTGTTCATTCACTCACTCGTGTTCCAGGGCCCCCAGCTCTGCACGTAGCAGGAGTGACCTCAGACAATCGCGGCAGCGGTCCTTCTTATCCTTGTCTTCCAGATGGAAAAACAGCTGGGGAGGCATGGGGGGCTCAGACCCTGAGCCTGCCCCCCCACCCCTGCTCCTGCCTCTCCCCCCTGGTTCCCTCTGCTCTGGGTACACAGCCTTGCTGTTCTCAGGGATGGCCCAGCTGGTTCCCACCTTGCCCTTTGCACTTGCCCTACCAGAAGACTCTGCTTCCAGCTCTTTCTGGGGCTCAGTCCTGCCCCTCTCTTCCTTCAGTCCCTTGTTTGAATGTCACCTTCTCACTGAGACCTTCCTAGCCATCCCCAAACCCTCCTCTCCAACCCGCTACTCTCTGACCCACAGATTCTCGACCTGGGCCACAATATCCCAATCAGCTGGGACACTTTCAAATTGCTGATGCCTGGAGACTGTTGGTCTGGATGGGCCTCAGGCATCAGGATCACGAAAAGCGGCCTGGGACACGGATCTCCACTCCAACCCACCCTTGTGGGTCTTGTCCTTACCTCCCTCCACGTTTGTTTTATGTTGTCCTGCGTTTCTGTTGAGAGTGGAGCAAGGACTCCGCCTATCCTGTATCTTGCCGTGTTCCCAACACCTTGGCAAGCGCCCAGCAGAATAGCTCAGCAAGTACCTGTCTAATGAACGAATGGGTGATGGAAGCTTAGGAAAAGGGAGCTTGCCCTCTGAGAAGTCCTGGGGACAACAGGAGAAATTCGGCTCGTCAGTCAATCCCCCACCTCCACTGCTGCCTACAAAATCTCACGGTAGCTACAGGCCCAGCTTGGGGGTGAGGACAGTGGGTGGGATGGCAGGTATGGCTGCAGCCTCCCTAAGATGTTGGGTTGCACAGTGGTAGGTGGGACAGAAAGTCAGAGCAGAAGCATGTGGTCTGAGCTCCCATTCTACAGATGGGCACGGAGGCCTGGTGACAGAGAGAGCCTTAGCCCAGGCCATGCCCTCGAGGGGAGAGGTTGCAGAAAAAGCTCCTAGGAGGTCGAAGCTGCTAGAGGCCTCCTTCCAGGCTCGGCATGCTGTGTGTGGCTTTGGCCAAACCGCTGACCTTCTCCGGACTTTGATCTCCTCAGTCAGTACTTCTGCCGAGATGGTCCCGATCCCTGACTTGGGGAGTCCCCAGGAGTCCTTGCCAGGGCAGCCGGACCCGCAGAGGGCCTGCAAGGGGTTAAGCTCCTCCCGCTGACTCTCAGGCAGCACGCAGACAAACCCCCTCCTTCTGACAAACACTTGTAGGAAATCAGGCTGGGCGCTTCCTGCCCAGGCGAGGCGGCCTCAGCCGCAGCAGGGGCGGGGAGAGGTGGGGAGCGATGCTTGTGTGTGAGCAGCAGCAGCCGGGGCTGGCAGAGGGGCCTGGAGGCGGGCCAGGGCGCCATGGAGGCAGGGGGCTCCCCAGGTTTGGAACAAAGACCTCACAGGCAGGTCCCCTGAGCCTGGGCCAGCAGGATGGTGGTGGAGTCGGAGAGAGGTAAGGGCGCCAGGCGGGCCGGGGAGGCCGCCTTCCCTCCGGACTGGCCAGTCACAGACTCTCTGGGACAGTCAGGGCAGCTGGACCAGCCCAGCCAGGAAGTTACAGCTGTGGCAGCTGTTACTACTTCTTTCGCAGTTTAGGGCGTCTGGCTCCCGGGGCACGGGTGGATTTTCGGGGGATTTCATCAAGCTTCCCGGCGCTGGATCCCTGTCCGAGCCCTGATTCTGACCTCTGGGGACCTAGACAGGCGCTGGTCCCCCGCTATGCCTGCGGCGTCCTAATCAGCACATGGAGAGTTGGTCCTCGGGCTGCTAAGGGGTCTGAGAGATGATGCTCGGATGAGGGGCTGCGGGGGTGGGGGTCCCCACTAAAGAGAGGCCCCATCTGCCACACCCCGAGGGGAGTTCTTGAGGCCGGCGGGGATAGATTCCGCAGCAGCCAGGGCACCTTTCCTCTTTCTCCTCGGCCTCTGATGTGAGGAGACAGCTTGGGGCAGGAGGGGGTACATCTGGAGGGGACGAGGGGCTGGAGCTTCCCCAAGGGACTAGTTTTTGGCGGGAACCCCTTGAGAACAGTAGGTCTGTGCCCAGCCAGCTGCTCAGGGAGGGCACCTGAGTTTGGGGCTCTGAGCTCAGCCTTTTTAGAGGGGCCCAGTCACTTGCTGTGGGGACTCTTCCTTCCCCTTCCTCTCATCCTCCCCGTAGGTCTCATGGACTTGGTTTCAGAGTCATAGCCCCTGGGTTCATTGAATCCCTGAGCTGCCCTTCCTGTCCCCGAGGTCTTGTGAGAGCCAGCCACCTCTCTACGACTCCATTTTCTCATCTGGGAGATGTCAGGGTTGAGGTGGGAGCAGAAAGGGGGCCCCCTGCACAACCTTGGCTGGATTGGGAGGGGGTTCCAGAAGGCACGGGGAGGCAAAGCCAGGCTGCCTGGCTGCAGTTGGCGTAGGACAACCTGAGAGATTGAGCCACAAAGACAGGGGGCCTCATTTTGGAGCGGCTGAGGGGGGCCAGAGAAGCGCTGTAGGGGGGGGGGGGGGTGCAGACCCACTCGGGAACAGGAGAAAGAGACCAGAAGGGGCTCGAAGTCCCTTGGGACTGCTGGAGGCAGGGCCAGTGGTGGGGAGAGGAGCCATACAAAAGGAGGAGGGAGTGGTCGGTGGTTCCCTGGGGGGCTAGGTTCTTGAAGGCAGGTGGGGACCCTTATCCTAACAGCCCAGTGCCTGGGGGGATTTAGTGCTCACGGGGCTTTTTCGGGTTCAGGCCCCAGTTCATATGGCTAGGGCCTTCACCCAACCCCACTGCCTTTCAGGAGCAGCCGAGCCTTTGCCTGTGCTGTTCCCTCTGCCTGGAATGCCTTTCCCCATTCTTCTCCCCCCAGATCCTCTTTGCCCAGCTTCATGGTTCCTTCATATAACCCTCTGTATTGTTACCCAGCCCCCAGGTTGAAACCTTGGGACACTTTGGCCCATATCAGTATTTCTGACGTCTTCAGAGGGCTTGGCACACAGCGGAAGGTCATAGGTTTTTTAAAATTAATTTGCACGCACTAGGTGTTCAGTATACATCTTGGTGACTCTGTAGTGAGTCCTCAGGATGGAGGAGGGAGTGAACAGCTCTGAAGCTGTTGCCCTTGGGGGTCACGGTCAACCAGGAACCTCAAAGTTCATTCAGCCACCACCCAGCCCATGCTCACGGGGCAGTAACTCCTTGTAGAAGCCAGAGCTGGGGGGCGGTGCTCTCCCCATCTTCCAGTGAGGGGAGGTTCAGCACAGCGGTTGACGAGGAACCAAGAGCACCAGACCTGGAACCTGGTCTCCACGTACTCTGCAACTTCTCTTTCTTGGCCGCAAGGGTGAGGACACAGTGAGGGCGTGTCCTCATCCCAGCCTGAGGATGGGCTGTAATTGGCCCCCGAATGTGTTGAGTGACCCGCTGACTGGGGGGCTGGGCCCTGGGCTCCCTGGCCCTAAGGGCCATGGCTTGCACAGAAGACAGAGAGGCCCTGCCCCCGGGGGGCTCACAGGTTTCAGGGCCTGGGGAGCATGCACACAACTCCAGCTGGTGACCGCAGCTGCCTCTGCCGTGCACCAAGTTTTCAGCGAGGACTGAGTCATCCCAGGAGACAGGATGTTCCTCTTTGTGCACCCAGAGGCCCCTGTGATTGGGCCACTAGCTTTGTGGCATGGCTAGAAAAAAAGCCCTAAAAGTCAAAAAACCACATGCCTCCCCAGCCCCTTCCTCTGTGGAGATTTCAGGAAGAGAAAAGCGGCTCTTAGCACCTCCCACACCTCCCCAAGTAGCAGGGCCCGGAAGGCCTACCCCGCCCTAGAGTGTGGGCCTCACCTGCCGCGTTCACTTAAATGCTGATTCCTGGGCCCTATCCCAGGGCCACTGAGTCTGGCTCTCTTGGGGTCAACCTAGGAATCTGCATTCTTGGGGATTTTTTTTTTTTTAAAGGAGTTTATTTATTTGTCAGAGAGAAAGAGCACAAGCAGGGGGAGCAGCAGGCAGAGGGAGAAGTAGGCTCCCCACTAAGCAGGGAGCCCAATTTGGGACTCGATCCCAGGACTCTGAGATCATGACCCGAGCTGAAGGCAGGTGCTTTACCAACTGAGTCACCCAGGTGCCCCTGCATTTTTAGAGAATTCTTAAGAACACTCGAGCTACAGGCCCACTGGCAGGGATTCCCGAGAAGGGTGCAGGCCCCCCAGATGATATGGGAAGCAAGGATTAGAGCTTCTCCTTAAAAGATTTATTATTCCATCTTTTTTAAGAAGTTATCTTGGATATATTTTTCCTAATACCTGTATTTTTTTTCTCATACACCAGCACGAGGATGCATATATTATATAAAGGTATCAGATATCTGTAGAGAGAGGAGATGAGAGTAAATTCAGGTTTCTGGTGAGTGTTGTGACAGAAAATTGGAGATGACTGGCCCAGATGAATAGTTTCCGATCTTGCTCTGTTGCTAACCAGCTGGGTGATCTTGGCCAAGTCACTGTTCCAAGGCCAGGCTTCAGTTTTCTCCTCTGAAAAATACTTTTCCTGCAACCTGCTTCCCCTTTTGGGTTGAGAGCAGGTGGAGAATGTGCAGGCTGGCACAGAGCGGGCACAGCATCTGTGGTAGGGGGCAATTCTGGGGGGGCGGGGAGGAAGACTGGGTGCTGGGGAGGGCATGAGCCACCCCTCCCTCCAGGCCTGCTGCAGACACAGAAGTTGTGGCCAGAGGCCATGCAATGTGATTCCCTCCCTGTCCCCACCCCTGTCCTTGAGAAGGCTGCAGCCTTCTCAGTGATGCACTGTTCCCTGGGGAACTTTCGATCCAGAAATAGTTGCCTGCTGACTTTTCTCAACTGTGTAAATCAAGGCCCTCACCAAGGCGCTAAGTGTTCACGAGGCTGCAGGGACACAGACCTATCTGTCCTCCAGGGAGGCCCAGGATTATAGACCACTGTCTCCACAGTATGGAGGGAAGAGCCCGGGCCTGACCCCAGCCTTATCTTGCCCAATGAGTGGCTTTGGGTATGGGCCCGCTGCTGTCTGGGCCTCAGTTTTCCCACCTGCAGAGTCAGGCTTTTGTATGAGCTAACCTGGAGCTTCTGGGAGGGTCCATGTCGCTGCTCTGTGGGCTGGGGGCTTGGGAAGTGTTGGCCATAGCACAGGGCTGGGAAGGAAAGGCGAAGGGAGATGAGAGAGAGTGAAGGAAAAGAGGAAAAGGAAGAGAGGATAGAGGGAAGAAGGTCCTTCTGCAGCCAGACTCCCTCTTCTGGCTCCTTCTCCCCAAGCAGTCAAAAAGAAACTTCTCAGCAGCAGCTCTAGTGTGCTGTCCCGAGGGTGGGATGTGCTGAAGGGGACCCGAGAGGCCCTCCTGGCTCTGGCCACCATCTCTCCTTGCCCACGCTCCACTGTCAGAGCGGAGGCCTTGTCCCACCCCCACAGCTATGGGGGACACCACTGCTGTGTCGCCCCCTCCTGCCTCCATGGTGCCTGGGACACCCCTGCCTGGACATGCTCTCTCTCTCTCTTTTTAAATTTAGGTGAAATTAACATGCCATGAAATTAACGATTTTTAAAGAAACAATTCATTTAGCATATGTATAGTGTTGTACAACCACAATCTGTATCCAGTTCCAAAACATTTGCAGCACCCCACAAGGAAACCTCATACCGATGAAACAGTCACTCCCCATCCCGCCTACCCCAGCCCCTGGGAACTGTCAGCTGGCTCTCCGTCTCGATGGATTTACCTGTCTGGGTATTTCATAGAAACGGAATCCTACTACAAGTGACCTTCTGTGCCTGGCTTCTTTTCTCCTCTCCTAATGTTGTTCAGGTTTATCCCCAGGGTGGTGAGTCCCAGCCCTTCTTTCCTTTCTGTGGCTGAGCACTGTTAGGTCTCACGTGTACCCCACAGTGTTTATCCATGCATCTGCCCATCCACATTTGGACCATTTCCCCCCTTGGGCTGTTGCAAATAGTGCTGCTCTGAATGTGTGTGTGTGTGAGTGTGTGTTGGTTTGAGTACCTGTTTTCAATTATTTGGAGTGCTGGAATGTTTTCTTCACCCCCATCCCAGTCTGCATTCTTACCCATCGGTGGTTAGGGAAGGCTCCCTGGACTAAGCCTTGCCTGCTTCCTAAGCCTACTGTGCCCCCTCCCACAGTGTCCCCATGTGTCCCTGTCGTGCTCACCTTAATTTGTAGTCGCTGCCTGTTTGTCTGCTCCCTCCTGGGCTCTCTGTCCCAGCACCCATGCATGGAGCCTGGGACACAGTGACAATCCCTAGCACACCCCCGGACCCAGAGCTCTTGCCAGGGCCAGCCTCTGGCTCCTTACCCTGTATCTCAAGTAATTGAGCTCCTGGTTTTGCTAAAGAGACTGAAGGTAGTGTGACTTGCCCAAGGTTGCACTGCTTTCGTGGGCTGGAACCAGCAGGTGCTCCAAGGCTGTTGCATCCCAGTGTTCCTGTTGGTAACCTGCTCGAAGCTGGGCGGGGGCTGAAAGAATGATGCTGTCCCTTGATTGTGTCTCCCACAGGCAGCAGGTAGGATGGCCGGTACTGAGAGAAGCTGGCGGTGACTGAGGCGCCCGCAGTGGCAGCTCTGTCTCCTGAAGATGAGGTGGCCCAGGTGAAGCCCAGGCTAGGTCCCATGGCCAGCTCCAGGACGGAGGTGCGCTGGCCCGAGCTGGGCCTGGGGAGGGGGCCCCAGCGGCGGCGCTGGGCCTGGGCTGAAGAGGAAAAGGATGCCAAGGGGAGCGGGGGAAAAGAGGGGGCCTTTCCCAATGCCACCAGCCCCGAGCTCCTGGAAGACTTCCGGCTGGCCCAGCAGTGCCTTCAGCCGCTGGAGTGGGACCCGCGGGCTGCTGAGAGCCAGGATTCCGAATCGGGAGAGTCTGCGGGAGAGGGTGAGACTGATCTCCCCCTACCCCACCCCACAGGGAGCTGAATATCCCACCTTCTGGTGGGAGATGGGGAGTGGGGGGTGTTTTTTTTAAGATTAAAATCCATAAAGCCTATAATTTAAAATTTTGAATGATTTGAATTATATAAGTTGTAATGTTCAATGCAGAAAAATCAGCAAATATGAAAGCGAAAACAGAAAAATTTACTTATTATCCAGATAACTGCTCTTTTCTATATGCATGTATGCAAATGTACTATGCAAATGGAAATGGAATAGTACTCTACAAACGCTAGGGTAACCTGCTTTTTTTCGCAACTTAATAGACATGAACATCTTCCCAGCTCCTCATCTCTCCCTCCACAAGTCATTCTTAATGCATGCAAGCAATTCCATGGGGTGGATAGTCTGTACTTTGAGGGCCAAACTCTTGCTGTCATAAAAAATGCAGAGATGAATATCGTTAGTACATCTTTGCCCATGTGATGTGCTAATAGCCTTGGTCATTTAAACTGCTTGGTCCCAGGGTTATGTCCATTTTGAAGATCTTCTAAAAATCCCAATTAGCAAATGACAATGGAGCTATGCCGTGTTTTCTAGAATGAGTGTTTCCCTTGCGTGGAGAGCAGCTTAGACTAAATTCCTAATTTTGCCGAGCAGTCCCTTGTCTCTGAATCTCGGTTTGCCCATCTGTGAAACAGGAGCAGCAGTACCACTGAGAACAGCTCGAGCTTGATCATGTGGTTCCAGTCACACTTAAAACACAGACGTGACATCCTCCAACTTTGGGTTCTGTGAATGGTGCAGGCCCCGGTGCACGGTGGAGAGAGAAGGCATTAGGCTGGTAGCAGATTGTGACATGACCCAGAGTTCTTTCTGTCAGGTCGGCTTAAAGCAGGACTTGCCTACCACTACCTGCTCAGGAGCCACTTCCAACCCATCAGGGCGAGGTGACTGGCACATGCTGGGAGGAAAGGGCAGAGGCATCTCTTCCTAAGGTCACATGGTAACCCCTTGCTATGACATAATAGCCACTGCCTGCATCCTTACTGTGTGCCAGGCGCAGGGCTGAGCAGGGCGCAAGCGGTGTCTCCTTCCCTCCTCACCGCCCTCTGCCAGGTAGGAGGGACTAGCCTCAGGTCCAAGTTAAGGGTTGTCAGAGAGGTCAGCAACCTGCCCCTGGTCGCCAGAAAGGGATCAGAGGGCTCAAGACTGAATCCAGGGCTCCCTGGCTCCAAAGCCTGATTTCCCCATCGTGCCGCATGACCCCCGCTGCGGAGACTGACTCGCCAGCATGGCTGGGACCTTGGTCCTGAGTCCAGGGTTGCTGTGAGCCGCTGCATGTTCCTGGGCTAGTTACCTAACCTCTGTGCTCTTAAACAAGAGAGACTTGGCTGCAGGAGATTTTAAAGAGTCAGAGGATGTAGAGGTGCTAGGAGAAAGGCTGCAGGGAAGTAGAGAGATACAGGGGTGATGACAAAGGTGTGTCTCATGAAACTTTGGATCTATCCCAGAGGCTGACATAGGTTCTAGGACAAAGTAGGTGCTCAGTAAACATTGACTGCATGAATGATGCTTAGAAGCATGCATGAATGGGTGGGTGGGTGGGTGGATGGTTGGATCAATGGGTGAATGGGTGATGGGTGGGTACATGGTTGGAAGCATAGTGAATGGATGGGTGGATGGATATTTTTTGATCATATTGTCCTCCCAGCCTTGCTCTTTTCCTTCTTTCCATTCAGTCAACAAATACTGAGCACCAGCTCTGCAAATACACTAGTAAACAAAAATGGAGGGTATCCTTGCCACCATGGAGATTACAGTGTAGTGGGGGAGACAGATATTAATGAAACAATCATGAAAACAAATGGAGAACTGGAGCTATGATAAGTGTTTCAAAGTAAAGGTATTCAGTCCTATGAAAACCTATACAAGGGAGACTCTGACCTCGTTAGGAGATCAGAGATTTCCCTGATGAGGTCAAGGTTGAGCTAATGCCTGAAGGACAGTTAGGAGTTAACTAGGTAAAGGGAGGGAGAGAGGACCCTGGCAGAGAGATGAGTATGACAAAGCCCTGTGGTTGGAGCAATGTGGAATGGCTAGAGCAGGGAGAGACTGAGGGGGACCGGAGAAAAGAGATGGATTAGGAGAGCTAATGGGGTATGGAGACAGGGGTCTTAGGACCATACTCTGTCCTGGGAACAGGACAATACTGCTGAGTCTTCAGATGGAGGATGAGGATGAGGATTAAGGAGATCATTAGGTGGCTACTGCAATAGTCCAGGCAAGAGGGGATGCTGGCTAGAGCAAAGGTAGTGCAGGATTAAGAGCACTAGGTGAGTCCGAGAGCTCTGTAGGAGGTGATCTTGACAGGATCAGGGGACAGAATGGATTATAGGGTTTGGGTGGGGGTGGGGGGAGTGATGGCCAAGGTGCTGCCCAAGCTTCTGGCTTGTGCAACTGGATGGGATGGTGTTTCCATTTGCTGAGACAGGAAATAGTGAGGGATAGCCAGGTTTGAGGATCAGGTTTGGAGGACTGGAGACAACTAGAGGAGGTGCTAGGTAAGTACTTGGCCATATGGAGGGGGGAGGGGGAGCGGGAATCACTGGGATTCTTGCCATCACTGTAGGATGAGGAAATGAAGGCCCAGAGGGGCGAAGTAACTCTGGGAATGTTACACAGTGAGTCCAGACCTGGTGTATCCTGAGCAGTGACCTGTCTTTCCAGAGTTTGAAGCAGAGAATGTGGACAGCCCAGAAAGTTCCAACTTGCCTCTCAACTGGCTCCCCGAGCAGGATCCTCACCTGGCCATGACTGAAAAGGAGCTGGAGGAAACCCTTGGAGGTCCTGAGGTGCAGGAAGCTGGAGACAGTTCCCCAAGATTGGAGTATGAGACTGGTCTCAGCTCAGGGGGCAATGGAAACACCAACCCCAGGGCTCTGGGATGGGGTCAGGACATGGGCTGGGTGGCCTCTGGCAAACAAGCCAGTGGAGACAAACATCCAGAACATTCTGAGGACAACCCAACTGTTGACCTCAGCTCTGCAAGGTCCTGGAGCAGTGGGACCGTGAGCCTCGACCACCCCAATGACAGCCTTGATTCTACCTGGGAAGGAGAAACTGATGTCCCCCAGCCCGCGGGCCTGGCAGAAACCTTACCACAAAACTCCAGCCACCACCTCCTAAGCCCAAACACCAGCACTGGAGGAAGTGTTGCTCTGGCAACCCCCACAGAATTCCAAGACTCCTCGGTACCCCAGGCCCAGAGCCTCCAGGGTCCAGCAGATAAGTGGATAGAAAGTACCAGCCTCTCCTACCCTCAGTTGGGGGACGAAGCCTGGAAACGGACACGGACATCCCCTAAGACACTCCCTTCTCGATTCACTGGCTCTGTCAGCCCCCTGAATCCACCTAGGTCAGGCCGGCAAGACAGGCTGCCGCCCAGGCAGGGAGCCACTCTGGCTGGCCATTCATCTTCTGATGCCTCCAAGTATGGGCGCGGGCAGCTGAACTACCCACTCCCTGATTTCTCCAAGGTGGGACCCCGGGTAAGGTTCCCCAAAGATGAGAGCTACCACCCCCCCAAGGCCAGGAACCACAGCAGGCAGCCCCAGGGCCCTGCCAGGCCGCTGATCTTCAAGTCTCCTGCTGAGATCGTGCAGGAGGTTCTGCTGAGCAGCGGAGAAACCTGCCCGGCCAAGGACCCACCTGCTACACACCCCATCACCAGGGTACCCCAAGAATTTCAGACACCTGAGCAAGCCACCAAGCTGGTCCATCAGCTCCAGGTAAGCTGGTCTCGTGTCCATAGGCATGTCACCAAGGTACTTGGCCCAGGGTTCGAGGCCGTTCCGGTAGGAAGTCTTAGGACTAGGCCAGGAATCCCCTGCTGGTAGAGCAAAGGTTGTACCCAAGCTGGTTCCTAAGCTCTTTGCTCAAAAAAAGAGCAGTGCTTACACTCATGCCACAAGGATAATCCAGTGCTTATTTTTAACTTCTGCTGTGAGAAAATCAAATCGTATACATGACAGGAAAATGGTCTAATGAACCCCCGTGTACCTGCCACCCAGCCCCCACCAGCCTTTTTTACCTGCGGCCTCCTCTCTTCCCCCTCTCACCATACTGGAATATTTTGAAACAAATTTCAGGCCTCAAATCATCTTACCTAGAAATATTTTAGTGTGTATGTCTGAAGACTGGCACGCTTTCTGGAACGTGGCAATCCCATCAGCTTATCTAGAAACCGATACCAGTTCCCTACTATTACTCAGTTTCCAGTCTGTGTTCTGATTGTGTCTCATAAATGGCTTGTTCATTTCATTTGGTTCGAATCATGGTCAAACACGGCTCATCTGTTGCTTGTGATCGATGTGCCTTTCTTTTTTTTTTTTTTTTTTTTTAAAGATTTTTAATCTATTTACATGACAGAGATCACAAGTAGGCAGAGAAGCAGGCAGAGAGAGAGAGGTGGAAGCAGGTTCCCTGCTGAGCAGAGAGCCCTATGCGGGGGCCCAATCCCAGGACACTGGGATCATGACCTGAGCCAAAGGCAGAGGCTTTAACCCACTGAGCCACCCAGGTGCCCCTCGATGTGCCTTTCAAGTCTCCCCAATCCCACCCCTGTTTTTTTTTTCCAAATCTCCTCCTTCCTTTTGGTGTATTTATTGAGGAAACCAGTTCTGTCCTGCAGAGTCCCCCACGTTCTGGAGTTTGCTGACACACCATCTTATCTCTCTCCTACGTTCCACTGTCCTCTCCTTGTCCTGCATGTTCTCCATCTAGAGCTCGAAGCTTTTGGGGCTTGCAACCCTCTGTCCATGTTCCCTCCAGACCACTGGCTCCATGTGGCTAGGGGCTTTTTTTTTTTTTTGGTAAGAGCATGTCACAGGTGTTTCATTCAGGAGGCGCAGGATTCTTGGGATTCTTGCTCATCTCTCATTTGTGGTATCTGCAGCCACCGATGACCATGGCCTTGATCCAGTCCTCCCTTTGGCAGTGACAAAGTGATAGTATCCTAATGCTGTCATTCCTCCTGCATTCACTTGCTGGAGATCTTCTCTAAAGTCAAATTTTCTCTCATTGACTATTTGGTTATCAAGGTCTTGTTCCTATGGGAAACACGGGAGAAACGCTTGAGTCTGTTCTTCTAATTAAGGGTTTTCAGACCCGTGCCTCTGTCCTCCGACGTCCTTCAGAAGCAGGGGTGCCATTTGTTTTTGCCTGTTCCCTGCCGTGACTGGTGTGACGAAGCTGTTCAGTTTAGCTGAGGGCAAGTAGTGACTGAGTAAATGTGATTATGATTCCCAAGTCTTCTACGGGACCCTTGGATGATTCATTCCATCCGCCATTAAAAAGCCACTTAGGAAGCACAGACTCCGGACGTGCAGGGACCAGAGCGGTGGGGAAGACGGATGTGGGTCTCAGCCCCCAGAGGTGACAGACAGCAGGGAATTAGGACGATGAGCAGGGAGTTGCAGTCCCTGGGATGGGTGATGCATCAAGGTAAACCAGCCCAGAGGCCCTCATCCCTGATGGAAGGTCGGGGAGGTTAGCAGGCTGTCCTACCTCCTCTCCCACTCAGAATTTGGCCACGGTGGTGTGTGTGACACGTGAGCCTGAGGGGTTCTGCTCAGCTCCCACCTCTGAGCTCTGACACTCTGAGGAACCCTTGGGGGGCTGGGCTCCTGGGAGGGGTCTCACGGTGAGGGGCGTGGGCGCATGACCCTGTCGCTCTCCCTTTCCTGCAGGAGGACTACCACAAGCTCCTCACCAAGTACGCTGAGGCTGAGAACACCATTGACCAGCTGCGCCTTGGGGCCAAGGTACTGGTTGGGGTAGGGTGGAGGTGGGGGGCCTGGCCCCCAAGAGATGACACTCCCCCACAGTCTTTGCTCCTGCCTCCTAAGGCCCTGGAGATTCAAGAACCCAATCCTTAGTCTACCACAGGGTCCCTCTGTGACCTTGGGCATTGACGTTGCCCTCTCTGGGCTCCATCTTCTACATCATTGATGAACTTTGATGTCCTTGAATCCTAGAATCCGGGTTTCCAGGATTTTCACCAGGTCTGGGGTCAGACCACTTGGGCTCTGCTCCTGGCTCCATTACTGACCAGCTCTGTGACCCCACACAAGTTTCTTGGGCTCTCTGAACCTCAAGGGAGTAGCACAGAGTTTCTGCTCAGCTCCTGGAACTTATTTCTTAGGCCTGATCCTTCCAGAATGGTTCATGCTCACTCATGCTCCCCCACAGATTGAATGTCCAGTGTGTAGCAGAGCAAGTGAGGAGGGGGAAATCCATCCACACCCATCCTGCTCAGCCTGCACCCTGCCTGGGGAGGAGGCTGTGAATTCTCACTTGGGACCTTCCCCTTTCTGGGGCTGAGGCAGGAAGTGGGGCCTGTAGCTGCCCCTGGTGGCTTCCTGCTTCCCCTGCCCCCCTCTTGCCCCATCAGGCCACAGTGGAGGAGGGGCTGGGAGCTGAGGGGTGGAGAGGCAGACCTTCCCTCACCCTTGCCTTCTGTCTCAGGGCCCCCACCTGGCCTGTCCCTGTCACGCTCCAGGACCCCTCCCCTGCCACAGGTTAGTCTCAAGCCTCCAGAGGCACTTCTGTGACGTGTGTCTGAGGCAGCCCTGATAAGAAAATGGAGGTCCTGTCCTGGGAGCAGTTCTCCTGAGTCCCCACACCTGTCTGGACGCAGGTAGATCCCTTCCATCCTGGCCACCTTCAGGCAAAAGGGGGTTAATCAGACCTTCCTCCTGGGAGCTGGTGGGTCCCGCCTGTTGTCTTAAGGCTCCTTCTAGCTCCATGAAGCACAGAGCCAGAGGCGGGGTGGAAGGGCAGGAGAGTTAGGGAGACCTAGGTGGGGCATGGTGAGGTGTCCTCCCTGGGGAACCATGTGCACATGGCTGCAGACTCCTAGAAGCTCCGCGGAGAAAGGAACCGGCCATTAAATCCAAACTCGCAGCTCCCCCATCTAACAAATTGGGACTTGGGTCCCCAGCAGCAGTAGAGGCTGTCAGAGTTCAAGGCCAGGGGCAGGACCTTGGAGCACCTCCTCCGTCCCTCTTCTCCTTGCTTCCTCCTTTACTCAGTTTAGAGAGTGAGTCAGTGTATGGAATTCGTGTACCAAGCCCTGGCAAATACTTCCAAAGACATGGGGATGATTCTTCTTTTGAATATTATTAATATGAAGGTGTTTATTGGGTGCCCATGTGCGCCAGGCACCGTGCAGGCGTGGGCAGGCGTGGACACCATGGGAGCACAACCCGGTGGGGACCCGAAGTTTCCCCATGGACGGTCACCTTGTCCCGACTGATACCCAGACCCATCTCTTATTTGTGAGAGGAGCTTAGGAGGGAAGGTGGAAGAGGCTAGGAATGGTCCAGTACCAGCTCACCCACTCTGACTTTCTTGAAGAATGACTCCTTAGTTTGGGGGTGCTCCTCAAGAGAATGGTGAGCATGGGTCAGCTAGCCTCTTCCAGAAGCAGGATGATTCTCTCCCGGTCCCCTAGTCTCACAGCTGCCCTGGTGCGGCCATACAGGCAGGGCTTACTGTCCCGGTGGGCTCAAGAGGACATGGAGCCCAGCTGGGGAGGGACTGGCACAGTCTCACGGGGCCTGGGGGGAGGGGTCCTGGCTTCCCAGCTGGGCTTTTCACCCTGTCCCCAGCTCTGTAGACTCTACTCTGAAGACATAGGGAGACCCCGGTGTGGCTTTCTGCTCAGAGCCTTTGCCAGGGAGGCTGGTTGGTGGAGACAGAAGTCTTACTGCTCCTTCAGACTAAGCTGGCGGGAGTGGACCCCCCAGGGACCTGATTAGTGCCACCCCCTATCTGCTCAGAGCCCAAGGGGAAGGGGTGGACCCACGTGGGAGGGAACCAGGCAGGCCAGCAGTGGGTGGGCAGTGATGGGTGGGGACCTGGGGGAAAGGGACTGGCAGGTACTAAGTGGTAAAAAGACACCAGGCCCCGGGCTAAGTATTACCAGGGTCATCTCATTTGATCCACAGAAGAGAAAACTGAGGCACAGCCAGGCCGTGGTTTGTTCAACCCCTCAGCTGGGAAGGGATTTAAAGTTGGGGATTAAACCTATGTCTGCCTGATTCCAGAGTGGGCGCTCTTCTCCCCATGCCTGGGTGGGCAGGATTTGGGATCCTGGGCTGGGCATGTGGCAGAGGCACAGGGACAAGGCAGAATGACGATGTTAATAGTGATGATAACAGCAGTGATACAGAGATGTTTACAGAACACTGTCCTGAGTTATTTACCACTGGGGAAACTGAGGCACAGGGCAGCTAAGAATATTTGCCCATCGCCCAATCAGCAGGTGCCGGAACTGGGGCTCGGGCCCAGCAGTATGGCTCATGAGCCCACTATTAACCCCACCTTCTCTAGCAGAACCAGACTAGGCAATGGTCCCTGCAGCTGGGGAGGCTGGCAGGGAGTCCCAAGGCCTGGCCTGGGGACACCCCTGAAACTGGACTGGGGGTAGGGCAGGGAGGTAGGGCTCCTCCTGAGTCACTGCCAGACTCTCTTCCCTCCCACAGCTCAGGGCCAGAGTTGATAGTGATCTCACTGATTTGCTGCCACACTGTCACCTCCCCCCAGCTGCTGTCCCTGTGCTCAGCTGCAGGGGCATCTGGAGGAGCTGAGGAGACCAGACACTACCCTAGAAAGAGTTGGGGGCGGGGGTTGACATAAAACTGCGCTTACTAAAATGTGTGTTCCGCTGACCTGGCTGGTCCAGGAGTCCCTGATGGAGGTGGGGGGCGGGAGCTCGGAGGTTAGTCTTGGAGGTTAGTCTTCAGCGGAGTGGGGGAAACATCTCCTATTCTCTCTACTCCCCCCTCCCCTCCTTGCCCCATTCATAAAGCACATTAGCATTTTAAAGGCTGTGAGAAACCCATCTGTGCAAAGACTAGTCCATTATTTAACCCAGTGTTTCCCACAGTTGCTGGTCTACTGTTCACTGATTAACCCCCCTGAAGGAGCTAATTCGGCCTCAGGGAGCTCCACAGGACACCCAGGCTTAAAAGGGGTGCCCTGGGGCACTGGGGTGGGTGGTGGCTGTGTCCAGAGACAGATCTGGAGAGGGCGGGCCCCTGAGCAACTTCAAATTACCCACACTCACCCCTAGCTCCACCTTCCCAGGCCTCTGCAAGGGCTTTTGGCCCCTCTGCTCAAATGGTTCCCCGTTCCTGTTTCTCCCCAGGTTGGGCCTGGGTAGGCTGGACCTGAAGCTGGGGGAGGGGCAGGGTGGGGTCCTGGGCCGTCCCCAGATTTGGGTCACCCTGGGAGGAAAGGGGTGCTAGTGGGAAAGCCCCCACAGGCGGGTCTGAGCAGATGGCAGAGAGGATTATTAAAATCCAGCTTTGTTCTCATCAGATGCTGGGTCTGAAGGAGGGGGAGGCAATGGGGGCCAGGCTGTGCTGGGCTATTGTCCCTCACTTTGGAGTAGATTTTTGTGCCACAGCCAGGACGTGAAGAGCAGCTTAAGCAGGGAGAGGCTGCCTGCCTGGGGGCTAGGGAGCTCCGTGTATCAGGCGTGTACCCTAAACTGCCCACGCCTGACCCTGGGGCAGCAGGGAGCAGTAAGACCAGCTGGGAGGCACTGAGGCACCACAGGGGAAGAGCTTTTCCAGGGAACTGCCTCCATGATGGCCCCATAAATGACAATCGTGATGATAATGGAGAGAATGGTGGTGGTGGTGGTGATGGTGATGGTGATGGAGATCATGGTGATGGTGATGATGGTAGTGATGGTGATGATGGTGATGGTGATAGTGGTGGTGATGGTGATTATGGTGGTGATGGTGATGATGGTGATGGTGATGGTGGTGATGGTAATAATGATAGTGATCGTGGTGCTGTTGATGATGGTGTGATGGTGATGGTGATAATGTTGATGGTGATGATGATGGCCATGATGATGATACTGGTGGTGGTGACAGTGGTGATGATGGTAGTGAGGGTGATGTGTAATGAAGGGAACAGCAATCATAATGGTGATGACGAATATGAGGGTAGTGGCTTCTGGTTATTGAGCAGTCACTCCGCGCAGTTAGAAGTCTGTTAAATCGCCTGTTGTAGGACTCAGAGTGGCCAGTGGCAAAGCCCACAGGTGAATATTTTCAGCTTTGTGGGCCATACAGTCTCTGTGGTAGTGACTCACGGCCACTGTGGTAGCATGAAAGGCCCTAGATGACACATAAGCAAGCACAGCTGTGTCCGCTAGAACGTAATTCACCAAAACAGACCGTAGCTGCCCAGCCCTGCACTGGCCCACCATCCGTCCCTGGGTCTCCTCTGATCTTGTGCTTCACACGGACCTGCTTGGCCGTCGGCCCGATTCCAGACTTCTCCCTCACGCACTGGGCTGTTTACCATGTGAAATCCACCCTCAGATGACGGAGACCTGCCACGGCTGAGAGAGGAGCTCGTGCACCTGTTGGATTACTCACTCATTCAGTCATCAATTGTCATTATTATCAATGGGACACTTATGATTAAAAACGTTTTTATTAATAATATATAATTGTAATATACTTGCTAAATGTGAAATACCATGTTAATTATAATTGCAGTTACATTGTAAATTATGGTAACAAATATTAGTAAAAGTGATTAATCTGGGAAACCAGAGTCTTTAGGGTCATGGCAGGGTTATAGTCTCAGCCCAAGGATTTCCAGCTGGAGATTTTGAGTGAGTTAACCAGAGTCTCAGTTTCCTCTTCTGTAAAATGGAGATGATAGTCCCTGCCCGGCTTCCCCTTCAGGACTGCCATGAACAGAGGATGGAAGGGCCTGTAAGTCCTTGGCCCCGTGTTCGACCCCCACCCAATAGCTCCACTAAAGGTAGCAGTAATTATTACAAGGCACGTTTGTGAGTGCCTAAGTGATGGTATGAGTGAAGGGAGGCCTGTTGAGGAGTTTGCCCCAACCCTGACTTGGCTCTGCTCATGCCTCCCCTCCTGGACAGGTAAACCTGTACTCGGACCCGCCCCAGCCCAGCCACAGCATCCACACAGGGACGGTGCCCCAGGGGACCAAGGTCTTGTCCTTCACCATCCCACAACCTCACTCTGTGCTGCGGTGGTCGGGCCCTGCCGAAGCCCCACAGACCCCTGGGGCCTCAGGTGAGTGTGGGAGATACAGTGGGGCTGGAGGGCCTTCTGCCTGTGATTCTGCTCTGGGGGCACTTGGTTCCCCTTGGGGTGACACTGGCTTCAGGTCAGGCCAGGGAGGGAGGCAAGACCCTTCTCTGGGACCTTTGACTTGAAGAGGTCAGATGCAGATGTGGGAAGTGTCTTGCCTAGAGCCAGAGCAGCCTGGGGAAAGCTCTGCTCTGCACTTGGCATTGGGTGATCTTGAATCCACTGCTGCACAGAGAGCCCTGTCGCTCTGGAGCCCACGTGGGGGCCGGGCTCTGTGCCAAGGCTTGCCATGCGTGATCCCAGTTAATCTTCACATCGGCCCCATTGAGAGTCAAGGAGACCAAGGCTCAGAGAGGCGAGATCATGCTGAAGGTCACACTGCCACAGCAGGAAGGGGACGGTGGGGATGTGAACCGGTGTCTGTCTGAGTTAGAGCCTGAACCACTGACTGGGAAACCAGAGGCCTGCCTGGGCCCCAGCTGTGAGATCTAGGGCAGATTCAGACCTCGTTCTTCCCCCATACCTGGGACTACACTGCCCTCCCGCATCCTGGAGCCCCTGTGAGGACAGTGTGATCACGAGATGATGATTGGAGCTAGATGATGGCGGGTGTGGTTCTGAGGTTGGCTGTGAGTCCCTCTGACCCAGGAGGGACTGTTCTGGGCCCCAGCATTGAGTGGTTGTGCATTCCAGGGTGGCCGTCTGCTCAAGGAGACCTGAGCCCGTCCTCGTCTGCCCCAGCGTGGCTTCTGGAGAACCCAGGCATCACCCAGGACCAGCCCTCAGCAGAGCAGACCCAGGAGTTGGCCTCTCAGGCCCGCCGGTTCATGGCCAAGGTGAGGGGGATCTCCAGCTTTGCCCATGGGAAACACAACTCACCTGGAGAAAGCAGGGTGTCTGCCTGTTTGAGTGAGAAGCTCTCCACAGGGCTCCCTTGTTCCTGCCCTGGGGGCGCTAAATGGGCCATCCCCAAAACGTGTGCCTCTCCCCGCACTTGGAGACCACTTGGGCTAGAGCCCTGTCCTTGTCACTCAGCACTGGGTTCCCTCCCGTTTTTGGTGTCGGGTCTCATCACACTCCCTCCAGTTGTGCTGGAAAGTATCTCTTGGGTCCCCCTCCCAGGGGAGACTTTGAGCCCTTCCAGGATTCTGGAAGGATAGCAGAACTCCACTCTACCTGTTCCTCTTCAGGATAAATGTTCCTGCTTTCTTAGTTCATTCATTACAGACATCCATTCTCAGTCTCTTCTCAAAGGGCCTTTATATTTTGACCAAAGAGTCCAAGTAACTGAGTTGTTTGTAGCACTATTTATAACCGTACACTTGGCCTTCTGCCCAAAGAGCTTTAAAGTGGCTGAGAAGATACTTGTATTATAACCAACTCCTGAAGATGAAAGTAAAGAAACTGGGGGCAAAGAGAAAGTAAGGGTAGAAAGAACCAGAGGGAACTTAGTGTAAAATTAATAAACTAAATGTCCATTTGGATGCTGAATGCTTTAACAGGTCTATGTTTGACTTTGAGATTCCTGGCTGTCAATGCAAAAAGGGAAATGCAACAGTTACATATATTGCCATGTCCATAAAATAATTCCTTCAGAGTAATATCACCATGCCTTTATTTATTTATCTATTTAGTTAGTTAGTTAGTTAGTTAGTTAGTTTTGTAAGTGTTTTACTGGGAAGATAGAATTCACATGTCACACAATTTACACCTTTAAAGGTAATGCTTCGGTGGGTTTTATTATATTCACAGTCATACAGCCGTCCCCGTGGTCGTCTTTGGAACATGTTCAGCACCCAGTAAGAGCCCGCAGGTCCATGAAGGGGTCGCTCCCCATTCCCCCAGCCCCTGCCCCTGGGAGCTGCTCACCTGCTTTCTGTCTCCATGGGTTTGCCTCTTCTGGACATGTCATATAAATAGAGTCCTATAATAATCAGCCTTTTGTGTCTGGCTTCTTTCCCTGAGCAGAATGTCTTCACACATGTATGGCAGTGACATGAGAAAGCACTTCATCCTGTGTAATCACCATCATTCTGAGTCCCATCCCTAGAGGGATGTGGCTTCTTGTCCTGTGTGTGATAAAGCAAAGCCAAGGCCATCACACTGAGCAGGAGCGGGGTCACCCGCATTGTTTGAACGAGAGCCACAGGTCAGGTGGCTCCTGAGTACTTGACCTCTGGCCGGTCCAAACTGAGATGTTCTATCGGTGGAAAGTGATGGATCTCAAAGACTTAATGCAACAAGAGAATATAAAATACCTCATTAGTAATTTTTTGCATTGATTACATGTCACAATAATGGTTTCGGATCATAAAATATATTATTTTATTAATTTACCTGTTCCTTTTTTTACATTTTAAATATGGCTACTAGAAAATTTTATTTTATTGAAAGTTTTAAATTACATATGTACCTTGCATTGCATTTCTATTTTATATAGAGAAGTTATGTAACATCATTGTATTATATAGATTTCTAAATTAGGGCTCCTGAGTGACTCAGTCATTAAGCCTCTTCCTTCGGCTCAGGTCATGATCCCAGGTCCGGGGATCGAGCCCTGAATCAGGCTCCCTGTTCATTGGGAAGCCTGCTTCTCCCTCTTGCACTCCCCCTGCTTGTGTTCCCTCTTTCGCTGCGTGTGTGTGTGTGTGTCTCTCTGTCAAATAAGTAAATAAAATCTTAAAAAAATAAATATCTATATTACAATTTTGCACTAACCTAAAGCTTTCCTAGAAATCCCAGAAAGCCCCAAATCACCTTTGCCCTTTCTTTCCTAGTGAAAAATTTTTTGGTAACGATAATAGAGGCCCAAGGTAAAGTCCCTCACATGGTACAGAGGACATATGCAGTGAAAGTCTGTTTTTCTGTACTTGCCCTTCTGTTTTGTGCAAAAATGTTCAACACACACATGCGTGTTTATAGAAATGGTCACTTAAGTATGTATGCTATGCTGTACCCTGACTTTTTAAATATCCCGAAGTTGACTCTTTCTGGGTAGGCAATGAATTCACTTTGTTCAAAGTTCAAAAGATGCATATAGGAAAAATGCTTCCTGCCATCCCTGTCCCCCACCCCGTCCCCGCCACCCAGTTCTCTGCCCCAGAAGCAATGAATGGTTTCAGTTTCTTGCATCCTTCTAGAGGTCGTCTAGAATATACAGGCAAATGTGTTTATATTTTTCCTTTTTTATTCTCTCGATAGTTTATACAAATGGTAGCATATTAAAAAGACTGGCCTGTCCCTTGATTTGACACCGAAAAGTAGGTCTTCCCTTACAGAGGAGCAGGTGCACATACCCTTCCTCTGCTTGATGGCTGCATACTATTCCACGCATGGGCTTTTTAGATGGTTTCCCATTGCCCCCCCCGTTATGCTGTAGTGAACACTCCTGTCTCATAGGCCTTCATGCACATGAGTGAGTGTGCTTTGCTCTGGATAAATTCTGGGAGGCTCCACTTTGATATTTTCAAAGGCTGCCAGGGCCGAGGCCCATGGTGGAGTCAGTGACTGGCATCCGCCTTCCCGTGCTTGGCAGAAAACCCACATCCTGAGGCGGGCCCCAGTTCCTGGTGCCAGTGTATAAATGTGACTAAGTGTGGGGGGGCCTGTGGGACCCATCTTCCAGGGTCTGGACTAACAGAGCGTGTTTCCTGTCCTCCCAACGTCCAGGTGGAGTCCTTTGCAGGACTGATACAGGCGGGACGGCTGACGGCCCAGGACCAACTCAAGGTACCACCCACTGCAGGAGACTTCATCTCCCACGGCCGAGTCTCTGAAGCCTCGTCTGCCACAGGACAGGCCAGAGAATCCCAGACTCACTGTCTCCTTTGAGAGCAGATAGCCACTGCCTAGCCTGCCAGGATCACGATCATGATAGCACAGGATTCCCGCTCCTTAGCCGTGATGATGGTGTGCCAGGCACTGTGGTGAGCCTCGGATACACATGGCTTCATTTTCTCATAGGAAGCCGGTAAGGCAGTTAGAGTCATCACCCCCATTTAACCGGAACGGAATGGAGAAGGCCACACAGCTAGTAGGCAGCAGAGCCCAGACCCAGGTCCGTCTGACTCCCAAGGCCAAGGTGGTCCTCACTGGCCTGTACTGCTTCCCACTGACAATGCGGCTTCTCAGCCACCAGCAGCAGACTTTCTCTTTACTTACCTTTCTTATCAAAGTAATTGCCCAATATTAGAAAACCAAGGGGGAAAGGGGAGAAGCGCCTTCTTCTAACCATTATTGGCTTCCTTCCTTTGGACTTTGGTATTTCTAGATAAACTGTAGTCATGTATAAAATCTAGATTTCTGCTGCCTCAGCCAGGGTCCTGGGAAGGAGCAGGGGAGCTCTCAGAGCTGGGAGTGAGGGGGTCGATGTAGGGCTGTGAGCAGGACTGTGGGCAGCGTCCGGGGATCTGTCAAGGAACAGGGAAGCCCTAGGACTACCTGTTCTCTCCCATGGGGGCTGCACAGACCCATGGGGAGCCAGCAGGTAGGGAGGCCAGCTGTCAATGGAGGCACAGAGCCGGGTGGAGAGAAGAGCTCAGATAGGATGGAGAGGGGCAAATGCAACACACTTGGTTTGTGTAAAAAAATATATATATACTGTATTTTCACTGTGTTATTACTATGTTCCCAATGACTGTGTTAGCCTGTAGACATCATCTGTTTTCCAATTGCAAAATGTGTGCTATGTGTTATATTATCCCATTGAAAGGATGACCAAGGACCTTGAACATCAAAAACCATTCCCTTTCTTCCCCTCTATCTTCATTCCCCCATATCGGAGGAGGTCAGGAGCTGTTGGAAGATCATGCTTGCCCAGGAACTAGACTCTAGGTTGCCCTTGAACTCAGTCTGCCATCTGCATAGAATGAGTGGGATGGGGATGATAATAAGGCAGGGATGATGATCCGACCTCCCACGGTCTTAGCCATCTGTGAGCTATCACCGCATTTGCTATGGAGGCCTAGCGTCACTGCTAGACCCATGAGCTCTAGAGCTAGAGGACCCGGGTTCAAATCCCGATTCCACCTTGCTTACTCACTGTGTGACCTTTACTAACTTCAGTAACCTCTCTGTGCCTCAGTTCCTCCTCTTTAAATGAAGATGATAAATGACCCCTCTTGTTAGGATTATGTTGGAAATTAAATGAATAATGCACAGCGATTCAGCATTAGCTCCTGTTTTCCCTGGTATGATGGTGATAAGATCATCTGTCATGCTAGTCTATGAGGACTAGCACAGAGTGACTCATGTTCCCAGATCCGCAGTTTTGAGAAGAAGCCTGAGGATCCATGGTCTCTCAAGAACTAGGTCCTTATGGGGACAGCGTGATGGCACATCTGACACCAGGAGCTTCAGGGAACATCAGAGCTCTAGCAGCTCTTCCCAGGAGAGACTGGTGCTCCCTGGAGCTGGTCCCAAGACTCTAAGCCGTGCTCTGTCTTGCTAATCTGATGGCAGAGAGCTAGACCACAGTCCTAACCCTAGCCTTCCAGCAACTTGGAGGCCCAGAGGACGGGTCTCCATCCATCCCCAGCCCCGCCGTGAGCTGTCTCCTCCGCTGCATTGCAGGGTCAGAGCCCAGGGGGCCTGGGCACTCAGTCCTCTCGGTCTGGTCTGGTCACAGGTGTTCCAGCACCTAAAGGCTGCCCACGCAGCCCTGGAAGAGGAGTACCTGAAGGCCTGCAGGGAGCAGCCGCTGGCCCAGCAGCTTGCCGGATCCCAGGGGATGCCTGGAAAATTCGATCCTGGCAGGTACATGCTGGGGAGGGAGGCCCCTGGTTCCCTTGGTCGCCAGGAAGGGCACATTTCAATCTCATACATACATCCCCTACAAGCACAGGGAGAAATCCTACCCGGGTTAGCATCATATCCAGGTGGGGGAACGCCTGAAGGCTAAGACCTGTGTCCTTTTGGACTCACTGCAGTGAGACATGACCTTGGATATGAAACCTGAAAGCACTCATCAGAGTGGGGAGGCCGGAGGGGGAAGGGATTGACTCAAGGTCCCAAAGGCTGCTGGTGGCAGAGGCCTCCTGGTTCCCAGTGGAGTCCCTTTTCACCTTGTTTTGTCGAGTTCTCCATGTCATTCAAATTAGGATGCTGAATGGACCCTCCGTGGGCATTCTCTGGGGTCTGTGCTCTGAAACACGGCCTCCCAGCCCTGCCCGATGTGGCTGCTGTAACAGGCTCCTGGTGCTGGTGTCCGCCCTTTGCAGGGAGCTTGAGGAGGAGATATTCCAGCTGGGAATTCGCCTGGAAGAGCTGAAGGACCACATGGACCAGAACCAGCAGGAGCCTGGGCGAGTCGGGTCAGACTCCCCTCCGGACAGCCTCCCAGCCTCGCCCTCCCTGTGCCAACCAGCAGGCCTGCCTTCTCCTTCAGGACAAGCCCCCACTGCCACCGTCCAGACCCTCTGCCCTCAGGTACCTCTGTGCCCAGCTGTACTGGCCCATCCCTTCCTCCTCTTCTCCATTAATTGACTTCTTCCCTACATACTTGCAAAGTAGGCACCAAATGCCAGTGGCCCTGGTACATGATGAAAATTCAGTGAGAAACAAACAGAAACGGGTGCCCTCTACCCTCATGGAGTTTTCTGTCTAGCGGGACTAATTCTGTTTTGTTCAGGGCTCCAAAGAAGAATTATGGGGCTCCAGGGGAGGTAACAGGGTAACATGACTGAGGTTATAGGGCAGGAAAAACTCTCCTTGAGGAAGAAATGTTTTAATGGGATCTGAAGGTGAATGGGAATTCCTTCATGCAGAAGAAGAGAAGTCATGCAGCTGGGGAAACAGCCTGTGCAGAGGCCCTGTGGTTAGAGTACGGAATGTGAAGAGGCAGTTGTCTGAGAGCTGTGACTAGAGAGGCAGTCAGGGGACCCATGATGTCAGGGCTAAAGGCTTGGCCTTAAAACTCTTGGGGAGTTTTTCAGCAAGTGGTGTTAAAAGAGGGTGTGCAGATAGGTGGGGCAGGAGGCAGGGCAGATGGAGAGATTCGTGGACCTGACAGAGGCATAGAAGACCCATTTGCCTGGACGTGCCATGGGAGTGAGGGGAAGGGCGGGGGAGAGCGTGGTTTCCAGCGTCCCAGGGGACTGATCACCCCAGGGGACTATTCACAGATCAGGAGACACTAGACAAGGGCCCTGCACAGAAGGCACTTTGTAGAAGTCTCTCCGGAGGGCCAACATCACAAGCCCCTGGGAGATACCACTGTTTGCATGGCATGTAGTTGAGCAGAGTGAGGGGATGGCAGGGGAGTCTCTAGACCTTGCTGCCCTTGCTGCACAGGCGTGTGTGTTGGGGACGGAGCAGGAGAAAGGACAGCGTGGCAGGTGAGGTGGGGGCTGCCAGAGGGCGAAGTGCTTTTGAGATACCCGTGATGGGGGGAGCTCTTGGCGGCTCAGGGATGTGGGGGAAGCTCTCCCACTGGGGAAAGCTCCCCTCAGTGCTGCCTCGTGCACCAGTGGATGAAAACCCGAGTGTGTCCTCTTCAGGGGCTCCCATGCTCCCACCCGGGAGGTGTTTTGGGGGTTCAGTGTCCATACTGGAATGGAGCTGGCCAGGAGAGATGCTTCTGGCAGGAAATCTGGGCTCAAATCTCAGCTCTGTCCTCGCTTCTGTTGGAAGTTTGGGCAAATCATTTGAGCCTCAGTTTCCTGTCTGTGAAATGGGCAGTGATAGCCATCTCTGCTGGGCTTACCGAGAAGTGCTGCCTGAGTGGAGCCTGGCGGGGAGGAGGTGTCCGTGAACAGCGTCAGTGCTAAAGATTGCCCCGTCCGCTCCCTGCGCTCTGCCCACAAAGGAAAGGGTGACATGATTTTTGAGGCTCAGCTATTACTTTTCAGCCCCCAACATGAGCCTTGTAGAAGGTAGGTCACTGAGTAGTGTCTGTTATCTGCTGAATGTCTGTCTCTTCACTGCCCAGCCTGCCGCCGCCAGCAGCATGGGCCCCTATGCTTCAACCGTGAACGTGGAGCTTAGCCCTGCGAGCAGTGAGGGGAACAGGCCCTTGGGCCTTTCGGCCTCACTCAGGCATGAGGAGCTGGAGGTGGAGCAGGGTCTCCATGGCCGCCTGGAGCGGTGAGTACCAGGAGGGGGGCCAGAGCATCTGGCCCCACGACGGGATGGTGCCTGGCCTTGCCGGGCAGAAGTCATGCTCCTCTGGGTTTCGCAGATATCTCAGCACGACGTCCCTCCCAGAAGCCGTGAGGATAGAGGACGAGGACGAGGAGGAGGAGGAGGATGGGCAAGGCCATAGAGTGGAAGTTGATGGGCCAGCTCCAGCTCTAGGAAACTCCAAGGCCACCAGGATCCCCATACGGCGGCTCCCAGCCCTGGACAAACGACGTCACGGGGCCCCTGTCACGTATGTCTGTGAACCCCCGTCTTGTCCCTGAAGCCAACTCTGGAACCACAGGCGTGGCCATGGTCCTAGAGAGCGAGCGGCTCTTCACGGCTTAGCCATGTCTTTTCTGACTGTTTCTTGCTTCTCCCCAAGCTGTGGGACGGATACACCACCAAGAACACGAGCGGGGACTTGGGGTGGGCCGGACACGGTTTCTGGTAGGACAGAGGCCGTAATAGGTACTGTCCCTCTCCTTCTCAGTCTCACATCTTCCAGATTTGTCTGGGAGGCTTCAGAGCCATTCTCTCTTCAGTGCCTCTCTTGATCTTCTTTTAAGAAGAAGGAGAGAAAGAAGGAGACAGAACCCGTGAGCAGGCCCCAGGCCTAGAGCCTTGGGCAGATGACAGACTCTGTCAAGAATAGAATAATACTGTTTTTGTGTGTCTTCTTTTTATGGCTAAAGTTAGTTTGTTTTTGTCACATTAAATACTGATCTTCCGTTTCTAACGATGACATAAGCCTTTGAGGAGATTGAAGTTTCTGGAAGGGGCTGAGGTAGGGAAGATAGAAGGCGGGTTCCCGGAGCCTGTGAAATGATACTGTAGCTCATTTGTTTCCACACTGTTGCCTCTGTGGTGCATTGGGTGGGATTTGCTGGCCATCCCCATTGGACATAGGAGAAAAGTAAAGTTCAGAGAGGGCTGGTGCCCTGCCCAAGGTCACACAGCTAGAAGATGACAACAACCAGGGTGGGCAGCTGGGGGCGTCTGGCTCCAGAGCTTGTGTCCTGGGCTTTGTGGCTCCCAGGACAGGGCTCAGAGTTGGTGTGTCTCTCCTCCCCACCAGGGAGACAGCGGAACAGATAGGGTCCGCGAAGCTGGCAGGCATCCATGCATCCGCGGCCAGAAATGGGCACCTACAGGGCTCAGACAAAGCCATGGCAGCTTCTCCAGGCCCGAGCAGGCCGCCTCACCCTCAGGGCACCAAGACCATGGGATCGCACCGGAGCAGTCTGACCAGCTTAGAGGGAAGCGGCATCTCTGAGCACCTTCCACAGAAGTCTCTGCGCCAAGCTGGGGGGTCCCCTCCAGAGGTAAGCATGTCCATGGGACATGGATCTCCCAGAGATTTCTGCCCCCGTGCCTTTGCTCACACCCTTCCAGCATGCCTGCTCTTTCCGTCCCTGCCAGTTACAGCTCTGCCCAACATCCAGGGCTTATGCCCCGTCACTTCCCCTACCCCTGCCCCCCTGCCCCCCTGCCAGGAACTCTTGCTTGTCCTCCGAGAGCTTGGAGCCCATTGTCTGTATTTCTCTGAGCCTGCTGAGCACAGATCAGGGGGAGTCCTTGACTCCGTGGCCTATTGGTGACATTAGACCAGCAATTTTTAAACTGTCGCAGGGGTCACAGATCCCTATGGAAATGTCACTTACGCTATGGTTCCTCCCATAGAACAGTGCATATAGATACCTGTACACACACACACACACACACACACACACACACACACACACACACACACGCATACATGCGCGCATGCACACCTACAGTCATGGCCTCGTCGTAAGAAATCTGCACTAGACCATGAACTCGTTGAGGGCAGGCACCTGTGTCACCTATTTGCTTTCCCCATGATTCCATTAGACCTGGTATCGACGAGGGGTGCACGGTGGATGAGTTTTATTCTCCCGAGTCATTGGCCCGGGGCATTTCTGCAGTCAGACAGGACCATGGCGTTGCAGGCCCCAGCCCGAAGACATGTGGAAGTGCGAATCCCATCTCCAGGATGAGAAGGCTTTCTCCTTCCCTTCTTCCTCAGTTTAGGATAGCTGCCACAGGATCTCTGCCGAGGGCCTCAGGGAAGCAGGACTCGCTCAGGGTAGCGGCAGGGAGTCCCTGCTGTTGGCCTGGTGCTGGTCCCCAGCGCCTGAGGACGCTCACACACGGGGCCTGGCTGCTTGGAGCTGCGCCAGCCTCCCAGCCTGTGAGCCTCTGGAATGTGAGGCCCAGGCCAGGACCCGGGAAGGGCTTCCCAGCTTGCCTCAAACACATTGCTCAGACTTAAAGGGACACCGCCTCTTTCAGGAATCCTGGATGGTGTCCCCAGAGACAGACAGTGGCTTTGTGGGCTCAGAAACCAGCAGAGTGTCGCCCCTCACCCAAACACCAGAGCACCGACTCTCCCACATCAGGTACCCCAAGACTCCCCACTTCCCCATCAGCATCTCACGTGGAGGGGTAGCCTGGGAATCAAAGTGCTGTGAGGCCCAGAGCAGGGCTCGATGGTCTGGGCATTCTCAGACCCTCACCCATCCCCCAACCAAGGTTCTTTGCCTCCATCTTATCAATAGAGGGGCACCAAGGTTCAGAGAGGGAAAGTGACTAGCCCAGCGTCACTCAGCCAGTCTGTGACAGCCAGGGGAATAAGTATCTACTAAGCGAATGAATGAGTGAATGGGGAACGAGACGTAGAAGAGGCATGAGGTGAGCAGAAGACAAGACAAAGGGATTCCGGGGACTACGGGGAAGGAGACGGGGACAGCACCCCAAGGCAAGGTCTCAGGCGAGGGGGTAGTGAGGAGCTGCCATGCAGAGTGACAGCTTCAAACGCTGGTGCAGGCCCCCGGGAGACCTGCCCGGGAAGAAAGGATTAAAATTCCGTTTCTCTGTATATTTGCTAAAAATGAACGTGAGCTTTATAATCTTGAGTCTGTGGGTAGACAGGTGCCCAGCTCTCCCGTAGACACAGAAATGCATGTGTAATTCGGTTGTACGTTCAGAAACACTGAGCATGCGGGGTTACTCAGTCCCAGTGGTCAGGAGCTCATGGGCTTAGTGTGTGGAAGGGCTCGGAGGCCGGGGCCTGTCCGTGCGATCTCAGCTCGTCTCTGCCTCCTTGCTCCCTCAGCACCGCGGGAACGTTGGCCCAGCCTTTTGCTTCATCTGAACCTCGGGATGCAGCCTCCCACCCCCAGACCAGGGCTCCTCCAGTCCCCAGAAGAGCCATGGAACCCAGCACACCCAGGAGCCAAGCCCAAAGGCGACCCTTGGGCCGGACCAGTCCTCTGCGGCAGCGGGCACCGAGCCTCCGCGCAGAGCGGGCGCTAGTGGCCGAGATGGGTGAGTGGGTGTGTCTGGGTTGGCCAGAACCTGGGAATGGCCGGACGGCGTAGACTGAAAAATCAAACCAACAAAAAACTTGCATTACCCTTTAGGATACAAAATATCCTAGAGGTTCATGGTGGGAATATTTGAAACCACAGGGAAAAGAGAAAAAAGTAGGCTAAAAACTGTCGCCACTTCATTCGGGTGTCGAACCCATGGGCTGTCCTCTCTGCCAGTGTGTGTGTGTTTGGAGACACTTTAAATGGAAATGGGATGACACTCTCTCAGTGTTTAATAACCTCCTGTTCACTAAACACTGTGTCCTGAACACTTCCGTGTCTAGAAATCCTGTGATTGCAGTTTTTTAACTTTAAAATGATGCACGTAAGCTTTTTAGTGCAATAAACATACGGGAAAGAACAAAAATGGATGAATTTTCACAAAATGAACACAGACCCACAAACCGCATGATCAGAATCCCAGCTCCCCCCACCATCACCCTCATCCCATCAAAGGCTCTCTCCAAGGCTCATTATTGAAATTTTTAAAAATTAAACTTTAATTAAAAGTTCAATCAATTAGGATCTCGCATGTAGTTATGAGAAATAATCCAGGGATTTCCCATGTCCCTTCACCCGGGTTCGCCCTCATTGAAACATCCTGCAAAACCACGGGGCAGATTTTGACCAGGACCCCCTCCTCTTGGCCCTTTATGGACCCATCACATCCATGCCCCTCCTGCCTACACGCCCTCCTGAACTCCTGGTGACCTCCCCCTCTGTCCTCAGTGTCTATAATTTTGTCATTCCAGGAATGTTCTATAAATGGGATGATCCGTATGATTTGGGGATGGATTTTTTTTTTTTAACGTAGCCTCTCTCGGGAGATTGATCTACATTGTTCCCTGTAACAATAGTCTGTTCCTTTCTATACTGTTGATTGATGTTCCAAGGTCTCCTTGTTTCGAATGCAGGGGCCAGATGAGTGGTGTTTGAGTGGTGTTTAACCTCTGGTCACCCCCGCCTTTGAGAGGCTAAAGTTTTGAACACTCTCCCAGAAGCATGCACACAGGCAAAGGTGTAGCTCTGATTTTAGGAGGAGATGGGGCTCTGGAGTCCGACGTGGACCCACGTGGTGATGTACAGCAGAGTGTGAGGGGGTCCACATGAAGTTGCAAAGAGCGCTTTCCAGGGGAATGTTCCTAAAGACTCACATCCGATGCTGAAATGGTGGATGGCGGGTGAAGTCTAGGTAGAAAGAGCTCTGCAGGCCCAGCTTTGCTCTCCAGACTCTTAGCAAAAACCACATCTTCGGGTTCTGAGAGCAGTGGGCCAGTGACCTCATTGGAAACTTTACTTATGACCTTAGCCATCACTGTCTCTTTGCCCGTATCTTCCTACCCACAGAAATTCTTGCTTCGAGGGTCCTCTCTGAGTCAACTCACCTTGCTCTCTTTTTGCCTTCTAGCGGTGCCTGGCTCAGAGTTCAAGGGACGAAAGCAGGTTTCCGAACAGCTCCCCCGCAACGCGACAGTCAGCCCCCCGCCCACCCTGACCCCTGAGGCTGCCACTCTGCCTCCTGGACCCTCAGAGAGCGCCCGCACCTTCCTCCTCACCAGGACAGGGCGAGAGTAAGTCTAATACCAGCACAGAGACGGAACAGTGGTGCCCAGGGGAGGCAGAGCCTCGCTCAGCAATCATATCCAGTGGTGGCCGTGTGGGGGCCCTCGGACCCAGGTGTCCTGCTTCCCAGCTCAGGGCCACTCCGTGGGACCTCACTGTTGTGGACTTTGAGGACACTTTTCCGGCCAGTGAGAAATGACCTAGGGGTTCCCCTTTCTAGTGCTAAGACCTCGGTCCCTGTCCCCTAGTATTTCTCTTCCAAGCCACTCTACTCTTTCTGGAGGTGGATTTTTAGCGGTTGGTGTTCCCGTTGTATGAATTGAGGAGTGACTGGTCCTCGATTCTCTTCTTTTTAATCCAAGCACAATTGTCCCACTAAGAGAGTTGCTCCTTGCTTGGTTGAACGGAAGTGGTAAAGTAGGGTAGCCAGCTCTCTTACCTCTCCTTTGAGTTGCTTTTGGCCAGTAAGGAATCACAGGCCTTTGTTGGATTGGGGGTCTCTGTCCCAGGTATGTAGGGAAGGCTGCTCTGTTGGGACCATGCCCGAGGCCTCAGGGCCTGTTCCATCATGGGCCTGTCATGTTCCCTGTTTGCAGAGGCAGGTGAAGGTCTGGCGTTGGGCATCCTGTCTGGAGTTTAATAAGGGTCCTGCTGCAGTTTCCTGTGGCCCTGGCAGAGGAGTTCCAGCTTGTGGGTCAGCGATACACCAGCCCTTGAGAATATCATAGCAGACAAGACAGCCTTTGGCCTAGGACATCTTGCCATCTTGTAGGATGAACAAAGAAACATATTGTCACACTCGCCAGTCTAAGTGCAGTGGCAGCAGAGGCTCCAAGGACTGTGGGAACACAGACGAGGGACATCAGACCCAGTCAGAGGCTTCAGGGCGGGCTTCCTGGAGGAGGAGGTATCTCAGTGGAGACCAGAAGTTAGAGAGACAGAAGAGTTCCTGGCAGGGACAAGAGCATGCGCAAAGGCCTGTGGGTGAGGGAGAGCCCATCACCTTGGCAGAGGCAGTTCATTTTAGCTGGGTCCCTGAGCGTGGGTGCTATGATGAGCACTGAGCAGTGGAGAAGGATACTGGGAGATCTGGGGGGGCCTCAGAGGGCCTCAAACACCATGGTGAGAGGTTTGGATAGTGGCTCAGTTCAGAGAAATGAGTTCACTTAATATTCACAGATGCATACGGGTATAGCTGAGGACGATGAGGGGGATTTAAAAGAGAGTGGGAAGGTCAGGTTCACGTTTTAGAAGGAGTGTGGGACAGACTCGATGGGGCGTAGGTGGGAATGGGGTGCGTTCGAAAAGAGACGTAAGCATTGAGCCCACAGGACTTAGGAGTTGGTTAACTTTGGGGGGCATTCAGGGAGGGAGAAGGGTCTCGAATGAGTCAGACTTCTGGCTGGCCAGCCAGTTGGATGCTGATACAGAGATGGGGAACTCAGCAGGGGAAAAAGTTGACAGAGAAGGATGAACTTGAAATGTCAGCAGGCTCTCAGTCACAAAAGCATTAAGTCAGCAAGACTGAGATCCTGCCGGAAACACACAGAGGGGGCAAGGGACACCCCAGTGAGTGTTCTGAGTCCTGGGCCACCTTCAGCTCCCAGAGTAGCCTTCCAGTCCTGGTTGCAGGGGTGAACGGGTAACAGGAGCTCCCACCCTCCTGCCTCCTGCCGACGCCCCGCTCTTGGCCTTGGAAACCCCAACAAAGGTCTCCCTGGGGATTGCCAGGAGACCTGGCTGCCCTGGACGCTCACTGCCTGGGGCCCAGTTAGAGAGCTCTCCGCTCCCACAGACACCCTGGGAGAGCAGCAGGGGGCGCCTGGAAACACTCTGCCTCCATTCCGGGGCTACCAAGCAAGAGCCTGAGGGGAGCCCTGCGCCAGAAGCTGGCCCAAACAGGAGATGGAGCCCTGCACCAGCCCAGGTTGTGCCGAGCCCGGACGCCGACGCATTGTGTGTAGGGGTTTATGTGCAGGGTGGTGGGGGAGCCCCGTTGGCCGTGACGCCAGAGTCTCAGATGAGACCCGGAGATACGGGTGCTGGCTGGAAAGACACGCAAACAGTACTTACCCCATAGATGCCAGCCCCTCTTTGAGCTACTTGCCTGTAAGAGGCTGGTCTGTGTCTGGGGGGCCCTGGGGACCACAGCAGCCTTGTCAAGAGCGCTGTGCCCTACCAGTCTGCTCACATCCAAGTATCTTCTGTCACCAGCAGACAGGCTTGAACAACGTGGGAGATGTTCAGGGGAAGCCAGGACGGATGGCCAAGTAAGGGTGGGAAGAAAACCAGCCTGAGCTGTTAGTTAGCATTTCTACAGATGGGGGCGGGGGTTGTCGCCTGGTGGCTTAGTCAATTAAGCATCTGCCTTCGGCTAGGGTCCTGATCCCTGGGTCCTGGGATTGAGCCGCGTGGCAGGTTCCCTGCTTCTCACTTTACCTGCCGCTGTCCCTGCTTGTGCTCTCTCTCTCTCTCTCCATCAAATAAATAAATATTTTTAAAAAATAAAGGGCAGCCCAGGCCAGTTAGAAGGCAGATTTTAAAGTGGACCTTCAGCAACACCATCATTCTGCACCCTCCCTGCGATCTTGACAATGGGCCACTGATTCTTCAGAAAAGCTACTCAGAGGCCTTGCCTGGGGCGGGGCTGGGTTGGGTGACCTTCGAAGGATGTGCTGCTTTGCCCGCCAAATGTGCAGGGACACAAGCTCAGAGAGAGGTCGAGATAGGTAGCAAGAAAAATGGACACACCAGGAAGTTCCAGAATCGGTCGACGGCAGAGCTGGACCCAGTGCCGGCTGGGAAAGGGACAAGCCCGGGGCATCTGAGCAGCCCTCGGGCTGGCTGCAGCTTGTGGCATCGTATATGCACTCTTCGTTTCTGTCCCCCGCCCCACCCCAGCCAGGCCATCCGAGAGCTGCAGGAAGAGGTCTCCCGGCTCCGTCTGCACCTGGAAGACAGCCTGCACCAGCCAGCCCAGGGCAGCCCGACGCGCCCCATGTCCACCCTCAGCCGCCCCACCCAGGTCCGGGCCCGGCCTGCAGATGCCTCTGTTTCCTGGGGCTCCCACTATGGCAGGTGGGTGACCCCCAAACGCTCACCCTTGTGCCCTGGGGCCAGCAGCAGGAGGGAGACTTGGCTGCCGCTGGGGCTCTCCACACATGGGGATTGACACCCCTTTCCCCCTCGGACAGTTTTTTACTATGTAATATTCGATGCATAAAATGTCTGAGATGTCACCTGAACTCACCACCTGCTTCAAGAGCTAGACATTCCCAAGATGTCCACCTGCTCGCTCGCTCCTCGGCGTGTCCTCTGTGATCAGCTGTTCCTAAGTGTTCCTATGGGAGGGCACTGGGTTGAGGTTTTCACGGACATTGTCTCATGAATCCTCCGCGTAGTTGCTGTTCTTATTCCCTCACGACAGATGAGGAAACGGAGGGTCACAGAGCTTTCTGTGAGCATGACTCAGTCTTTGATTTTGACTTTCGTGCTTCCTTCTGGGTTGGCTTGCTTGCTGGTCACCTGGAAAGTCTGCATGAAACTGCATCTGCTGACATCGTTCCTCTCTTTCCTTTTTGCTAGTAGATCCACAGAGAGATTGTCTGCTGAGCCCGCAGGGGGGGAGCGAGCGGAGCACGCAGGAAGGCGGCGAGCCAGGTCTTCCTCGGTGCCTCGGGAGGTGCCGCCGCTGTCCCTGAGTAAGTAAGCACGGGCCCGGACCGATGTCCGGAGGCTCCCGTCTGGGCCTGTTAGCTCAGTGGTCAAGGACCATAGCAGTAGCCTTAGAAGGAACCTGGAGAAGGTTCTGTGTGTGTTCTTCAGGCCCTCGTAGTTGTCTGAGGTACAGTGCACTTCCAGTGATGGCCATGGAATGTCACGCACACGAGGGTTTCTAGAAGGGCTTTATGTGGTCCTCATGTTCCATCTTCGCTGCAAGGGGGGAGGGGCGTATCACCCGCGTTCTGCAGATGAAGACACCAGAGCCCAGAAGTGCAGGGGAAGTGCCTGAAGGACAAGGGGTGGGGTTCAGCCCACCTCACTCCTTCTTGGCTGTGTGACTTTGGCCCGGGCGTTGACCTGCTCTGTGCAGTTAAAGGGACAGCTAACTGCAGTGGTAACAATGTTCCCGTCCGGGGATTGCTGTGAGGGTGCACGCATGGCCCAGTGGGTCCAGCCCAGTGCTCAGCACAAGGTCAGGGGTCCCCATGTGTCAGCGGATGTTACTAAGGGACAGACACAGGATCAAACCCGAGCTCAGCCCCAGAGCCTCAAGTTAGGGTTGGCTCTCTCCCTGAGCTCTGTGACACGTCCCCTATCCCCCTTCGATGCCTCTCTTTTCCCACCCCAGGTTCCGAATCTGAGCCAGCCTCCCCCCAGCGGTTCTCTGAGAAGAGCCAGGCCACCGAGGACAGTGCCCAATCCACTCGGGACAGAATGAAAGGAGCTGGTGGCACCAGGCGGCCAGACAGGGTCTCCTTCTGGGGCCAGTACACAGGTGGGCTGCGGGGCATGGCCCAACCCCCGGGGAGGACCCCCATCACGGAAGCCTTCCCCCTTTCACCATGGGCCATTGAAAAATGAGCATTTTTCTGTGAATTCTGTGACACAGGGAGCAGTGGGGGAGTGCCTCCTCTGTGAGTCCATTCTTTCCCCCAGCAAACAGTCTGATGCCTCTCTGCCCTGGACCCCATGCTGGCTTCTGGGGGAGCCCCTTTAGCTGGTCAGTCACAAAGAGGGTTCTGCTGTGTGCAGGGCGGACGCCAGATCACTGGCCCCTCGCCCACCTTCAGGTCGGATTCCCCAAGGCATCAGCCCCCGTGTCTCCTGAACTAGGCACCTAGCACATAGTAAGACTTCTGGTGACACAGAGTAGGATCTCAGAGTGCTTAACCTGAAAACAAACACGGACATAGCTCTGACTTCCAGGAATCTGACTGTGTAACAGAAGATAACAAATGAGCCATGACATCAGGTGTGTAAATTACAGAGGTGGCTGCCACTCGTAGCAGCCTGGGAGGGACGGCAGTTCACCTCAGATCCACAGGGCCGAGGGCAGGGGCACATGGCAGGAAGTGAAAGACGCATGGCCTCTCACGGAGCAGAGAGAGCTGAGGGGTTAGACGTGGGAACAGCGGGCCGGTCCGGGGGCCCTGAGGCAACACACATAGAATAGGAAGTGGGAAGCCTGCAGGGACTCGGGGAGCCAGAAGAGGATTGATCAGGCCACATCCCAAAGATCTGTCTTGAGGCTCAGAAAGGGACGAGACAGTAGATGACAGGGGTGGATAAAGACCCAAGCATCTGTCCAACCTTCTGACAACCAGGAGCACTGTCCATGTGCTGGACGCCGGGCAGAGCACCTCACAGACACGGCCCCACTCACCCCTTATGACGCCCGTGAGACCCAGACTGGGACAGTTCCCATTTCACAGCTGCTCACAGCACAAGGAGAAGACCCAGCTCACCCCGTGCCCAAGCCATCCCAATGCCACCTGGCAAGTGGCGGGTCTGGGGAAAGCAGCTCTGCTTGTCCTTGCTTCTCCTGTCCTCCTGGTCTGCTTCCCAGCCTGCCAGAGCTGGGCTGTGTTCACGCCTTCTGTACGACCTCCCCGATCCTCCTCGGTTCTCCAAACATGCCAAAGCGGACGGTCTGGTTTCTTCCCAGGCAAGGAGTACCATGTTCTGACCCCCAAGACGGCCCCAAGACGCAGTGGCTCAGTCTCCTGTCCCCAGTGCCGACCCGCCAGGACCCGGGAATCAGGTGAGGGATGGTACCTGGGGAAGTGGTCGATGCATAGAGGCTGCGGCTGCTCCTGTTAGGAAAGGGCGTAGGACGGGGGCCTGCCCTGACCTCAGTGGCAGGTCAAGGTACAGACAAGGGAGCAGGATTTGGGGGGGCTCCTTAGCCCTCCCGACGTCTCCTGTCCTCACACCTGTGTCTCCAGGTGCTGCTGCCTAATGCTACGCTCCTTGACCAGGACAGTGAGAAACCATGCGCATGACCTAAGTCCTGATAAGGAGGTGGGGGGGGGCAGGTAGTAGGTCCCAGGCGGGATAATTCTGTCCTGTCTCCCCACCATCCTCACCATTCTGATTCCTTCCCCCAGACCTATCAGAGAAGAGTCATGGGGAGAGAAGTGGCCGGAGAATATGGGCACTGGGTTCTAGTCCCAGTCCTGCCACTGACTTGCTGGGTGATCTCAGGCAACTTCCTTAACATCTCTGAGCCTCCAGCCTCACGTCCTTAATGAAAGGATTGGAGACGGTCCGAAGGCCCTTTCAGGCAATGATGATAATGATGGAGCTGTCCCTTAGTAAACCCCCATTGTAAGCAGGGCATCATGCTAAGGGATTTACAAACATTAATCCTCACAACCCTATGAAATGGGTTTTGTCCATTTTCTTCCTACGCCTATTTTACAGGTGAGGACACTGAGGCCCAGCGAGGTTAAGTAACCTGCTCAAGGGCACGCAGCTTACTAGTGGTAGAGTCAGGATTTGAACCCAGGTGGTTGTGAGTCCAGAGCTCTGGCTCTTCACCATTGTGTTGCTTTGCCTTTGCTCGAGTCCCAGCAGGCCTCCCTGTTCATTCGTTCCTCCATTCGTTCATTCATTCACTCACTCACTCGCTCATTGAGCACCATCCCATCCTGGGCCGTGGGCTAAGCAGACAAGGACAAAACAGTGGTCTGAGCTGGGCTAGGAGGCACAGGTGGGAGCCTGTAACCCCGGGCAGTGGGTGGGAAGCCTCCCCCTGAGGTGCAGCTGGAAGAAGTGGGCCAACCCTGGAATTCCACCCGGGGGAGGTGTTGAGGATTTGTAGGGGAAGAGAACGAGGTGCCCACCCTCCGCCTGCTCCCGTAGGCCTCCACTGACTACCCCCCCAACCCTCCGGTGCCTGAGGGGCCACTGTGGGCCACTCCCATATGAACAATGGGCCTGTCTCGGTGTGGAGGAGGAACCATAGGTTCAGGGCCTGTGTCCTGGAGAGCCGGGCTTTGGCTCAGACAGCACTGCCAATTTCCTACTCGGACATTTTGGCAAATCATTCAAGCTCTAGGAGCCTCAGTTCACCAGTCTTTAAAATGGGAGTGATGTCTCAGCTAGCCCCGTGGCTTGTTGGATTTGATAGCAGAATGCATGAAGGCCCTCAGCAGAAGCCCAGGTTTGTTATATGCTGACCCTCGCTGTCACGGAGGCAGCTCGTCCCCTCCACAGTGGACCCCGAGGGAAGCTCTGTGCTGACGGAGGTCTGCTTGGGGGCTCCAGGCCAGTGATCCGGACCTCATCCTCTCCTGACATCTCTTCCTCCTCTTCCAGCTGGCAGTGTCACCAGGGACCCACCAGGACCGTCCCCGACTGATCCCCTGCAGTGCCCCCTGTGTGGTCGAGTCAGGCTGCCCCCAGCGACGGATGGCCCAGACTCAGCCGCCTCAGGTAGGGACAGACACTCACTCTGTCCCTACACTCCCTGTGTAGGGACAGACACTCACTCTCTTCCCCCAGAGAGACCCCCAGCTCTCCTTTATGGGGGTTCGTGGGTCCATAGGGTATTTCATTGGGATGGTGGCTCTCCCAGTGTGGGATAGAGCAAAGTGGACAGAAGATTTGTTTCTCAAAGTCCAGCGCTCCCAGCGTGGCCAGCCCAGTGTCCACCTGTCACAGGGCAGGGGCTGGGGGGGGCCCCCCTGGTCTTGGCTAGATCTTCCCCAGTGATCAGACTGTTGTCTCTGGTGTCCCTCCCTCCCAGGGCCAGACAAGGCTGCCAGCAGGAGAAACAAACGCCCAGCCTCCAGCCCCACGCAGCGGAGCAAGCGCGCTGGGTCGCCGGCCCGGCCACCCCCGGGACTGTGGTATCTGGCAGCTGCGCCCCCAGCACCCGCCCCTGCTGCCTTGGCCTATGTCTCCTCGGTTCCCATCATGCCTTTTCCATCAGCCACTGTGTAAGAATCCTCCTTTCCTTCCTTCCCTGCCTGTCCGAGTCGCTACAGGATTCACAGTCAGACCCAGGTCGGGCAGCTAAGAACCCGGGCACCTGGTACTCCTGTGTTTCCCCCGCCTTTATAACCAGCAGAACATGCTGAGCGCTCATGTAGTCAACTCAACAAGCCCCAGATGCTCCTGCCTCCCACGGAGAGGCTTGGCCTGGCGGCGGGGTGCTCGGCAGTGAAGGAGCCGGCAGAGGGCCCTGAGCTCTACGAGCTTGCAGGGAAAGCACGTGGGAAGCTCCCCATTCCTTGTGGGTCTTCCCAGCAAGCAAGTAATTGCTCCCTCACTGTTTTAATAGACTTTCTTTTTAAGAACATTTTTGGATGTAAGAGAAATGGAGCAGATAGTACAGAGAATTACATATACCCCGTACACACACACACACACAGAGTTTCCCTTGTTGTTAACGTTCATACGGCACCTTTGATAGTGAGCCAATATTAATAACTTACTCTTAACTAAAGCCCACAGTTTCCTGGGCTTTCTTCAGTTTTTACTGGAACTTCTTCTGTCTGGGATCCCAACCAGGAGGCCACATACATGCCTCTTGGTGGTTGTGGGTCCTTAGGCCCCTCTTGGCTGTGACCGTCTCTAAGACATTCCCCGTGTCTGAGGCCCTGAGCGTGGAGGAGGACTGGGCAGGGCTGTGGCAGGAGGAGCACGCCTCTTTGTGGATGTGGACAGAACATCTGCAGGAGAAAAAGGAAGTGAGCCGTGGAGGCAGAAGTGGTTCAGGTTGGAGACTCAGAGCCGCACAGACTCCCGTCTGCTGCTTGCCGCTGCCAGGGCCTCAGTAGAGCGACTGCTTCTCTGAGCCTCGGTTTCCCCACCTGGTAAATGGGCTAATAGTCTGGACCAGAGACGGTTGTGCAAGGATTAAACGAGGCGCGTGGCCAGGCGCTCGGGAGATGTGTGAGCAGTGTGCGGGGCGGTGTAGGCACCAGCTCGCGGCCCGGTCAGAGGGCAGCACGGTCCTCCCAGCCCACAGCACTACTGCGCGCTGCTGTCCTAGGAGACAAACGAGGAAAGGTGGCTGCAATAGGACACCCGCTAGTTCTGTGCCTCAGTGTCCCTCTGTGGAAAATGAGTCTGTCGGGAGTCTTGGTCAGAAGCCTTTGTCTGTGTCAGCAAGAGGCGGGGTCCCTGTGGGGCCTGGTGCTTGGTGGGAGCAGAGGCACCAGTACCAGCCAGCCCCCGGGGCCCCTGGCCTGCAGTGGGGCAGAGTCTGGGAACATTCTCCTCCAACAGCTACTAGAGGCCGTCCTGCACGCTCAGGCCCCCCGCACAGGGGCTGAGACCCCTGCCTATGCTCCTGCTCACTGGGAAGGGCAGGTTTTGCCTGGAGTTTGGTGGCCTGGGATAAAGCTCCAAGTTCCCTTGGTAGGCATGGGACTCACTGCTTCTGAGGCTGTTCCATGTCCTTCCAGGCTCAGACCTGTGGACAGACCTAACCAGGCTGCTATCCCCAGAAATGGCCCGGTCGTAGGGAAGGGGAAAGGCCCTGAGCTGTAGTGCCTGACATACCTGGTCGGTGGGAGCCATACAACCTTGGACGGGGGTCACTTTGTTCCCAGTCTGTGCCTCAGTGTTTCCCTCTGTGTAGTGGGTTGTGGTAGGGAGTAAATGAACTACTGCATGGAAAGCCAACAGTATGTAGAAGTTGGCCAGGAGCCATACTACTTCCAGTGCTCCTAGAATTGGGGCGGATGATGCCCTAAGGTTTCTCCCGCTGTCTTCTGCCAAACTGAGAATGCTCAGTGACAGGCCTGGGCGCCCTCAGGAATGTATGGGCCTGTGCTGCCACCTGCTGGCCGTCTGTCTTCCAGCCTCTGCACCAGGGGCTTTCTAGCTAAAAAAGGTTTTTGTTTTGATGGAGTGGGGAGGTTGTAGCTTCTGCCTTAGCGGGAGTTTTGAAACACTTTGGGGCCAAGCTGGTCATCCAGTTCCTAGAAGCTAGGGGTGTGCAGAAACCCAGTAGTTAGACTAGATAGTCCCCGGAGGAGGGAATAGGAGGCAAGAAGCCTATTCATGGGGTTCACATGGTATGTATGGGTGTCACTGGGTGCTGATGACTGAGCTCTGGGTGTGAACAGAGCGCCGCCCCTTGCAGCTGTCTGACCCTGAGCTGACATTGACAGAGGCACTGTGAGTGCCCAGACAGCCAGTGGAGCTTTTCTCCTGAAAGTTCCTGTTGGGTCGATCCAAGGAGGTGGCTAACTGTGGCTCCTTTCGGTGGGGGTACAGTAGTCCCTGAAGGGTAGAGTCCCATGGCCAGCGTCCTATGGCCAACCCCCCAGAATAGCTAGCACTGGGGGCCAAGCCTCCTGCATACATAGCCCCTCTGATCTTCCCTTGCTCATCCATAAAGTCAGCATAACGGTGCTCATCAAAGAAGCAAACCATGTGCTGGTGGAGCAAACACTTAGCTCTGAGCCCGGCCCCCAGACCCAGGATGCGGTGCCGGCTCTGGGTGGGGCAGTGCCTCTACCTATGAGGAGCTGCCAGACTGATCCCAAGAGAGCCTGGGGTGGCCCTGCTGTCCCTGCGATCTGGCTCTCAGGTTAGAAGCCCCAGAAGGGCAGCGGGTCAGCAGTGTCACCGCAGGGCCGGGCTCAGCGGCCGGCACATAGTATAGGATTGATAAAGATGTACTGAGTGAATGGGGAGAAGGAAGGACCGTCGTTGTGCACCTGTTCCGGGTCAGGCACTGCTGTCCTCATGCTTCATCCTTCTGCCGCATCCTCGAAGGAGCTGTTTGTTATTCCCACTTGAGAGGTGCGGACACTGAGCCCCTGAGAGTAGGGGCCGGGGCCCAGCTGGGGCCAGAACGGGGTGCATGCCGACCCCGGCGCTCTGCTCAGCCCTGGCCGCAGTGCATGAACACAGCCCCCTCTCTCTTCAGGTACTATGTGCCTCCAGGACCTACCTCTGCCTCCTCAGCCCACTCAGCCCCTGCTGACTGGCCCCCCTCAGCCCCCTCCCGAGCGGCCAGGGGGCAGCGACGCTCCATCCAGCTGGACCTGGAGGACCTGGAGGAGCTCAACACGGCGCTCGCAGAAGCCATGCAGGCCGCTGAGGGCATCCGCTCCACCACCAAGCACATGAGCCGCTCCCTGTCCGCCGACCTGCGCCAGACCCGAAGCCTGCGGGGCTCCTGCCTCTTCTGACTTTCCCAGAGACCCAGAACCGGCTGGCGGGCGGGCTGCTGCTGCCCCCCGGGCAGGGGGTCGGCTGGAGTCACTGCTGAAGGCCCCACAGGCCCCTCCTGAGAGGTGTCCTTCTAGCTCAGGCCTTGCCTGCTGGGTGTCTCCACTGCGCAAGGAGTGTTGGCCCGGTCGTCCGGAGAGGGAACTTCCTGGGGGCCCAGCCCCTATAGGAAGTGCTGGGACCTCGGCTGCTTCTGCCCAGATGCGATCTTTGGGGTCTCCTGGTCCTGCACCGTCCGCCTCTGGCTAATAATACGTATTTCATATACAGACGGACAGATTTGTTTTGAAGCGGAGTTTTCCTGGTCTTTGGTCCAACCTACAAGGCCAGATAAGAAGGGCTCGGGCCTCGGTCTCTGGTGCAAATGAGTCTCCTCGTCCAGGACCCGCCGCTCTGGAGTCGGCATCTCGGGGAAGGGATGTCCGGACACTTTCCCCCTAGTGACTGGTGGCCAGTAGAGCACTTTGGGACCATTGAAATGTCAAGATGTCAGGCCCCTAGGAGGACGTGCACCCAGCTTCTCCATGGTCAGAGAGTCCTTTCCCGTGGGCCTGCTGGGAAGAGAGATCCTCACTCCCCGGGGGACCCGGAAGCCATCCACCATGGTCCCTCTCTGTAGCTCATCCCGACACCCCCAGCTCTGTCTCTGGGATCCCTGTGGAACCTGGCTAGCTAGTGGGCAGCTCCCTGCCGGGCCGCACTGTACAGCCGGGAGGCCAGCCCCTGTCGTGCTCCCCACCTCGTAGCAGCGTGTACCTCAGCTTTTCTGGAACGTGTATGCATCGGTGATATTTGTATATTTGATGCGTTTAAAAATCTATTTTCGTTATGAGGGCAAATGAAGAAGAATGAATATTGATCTTTTTTAAAAAGAAGAAAAAAAACATTCCCAAAGCGGCTCACATTCGCGGCATGTGTGTGTCCTCGAGGTGTGGTTTCTTGACTCAAGTTTGTGGGGTGGAAAGTTCTAAGATGAGCTGAACCCTTCCCTCGGGAGATCTATTGAGTGCCCCTTTCCAGATTCTGCCTGCCTTCCTATGGGGGTTTGGGGTTTTTTTCTTTTTTTTTTTTTTTTAAGATTTTATTTATCTGACAGAGAGTGAGAGGGTAAACACAGGCAGGGGGAGTGAGAGAGAGAGAGAGAGAGAAGCAGGCTTCCCACCAAGCAGGGAGACCTGATGTGGGGCTTGATCCCAGGACCTTGGTATCATGACCTGAGCAAAAGCCAGACACTTAACGACTGAGCCACACAGGCAACCCCTATGGGGGTTTCTGTTACTTGATGCTGCCCCAGCAGCCTGGGTCAGGACATTGAGCATTTTTTTTTAAATATTTTATCTATCTATTTGACAGAGAGAGATCACAAGTAGGCAGAGAGGCAGGCAGAGAGAGGGGGAAGCAGGCTCCCCGCTGAGCAGAGAACATGATTCGGGGCTCAATCCCAGGACCCTGAGACAATGACCTGAGCTGAAGGCAGAGGCTAAACCCACTGAGCCACCCAGGCGCCCCCACTGGGAATTTTGACCAGAGAGGCTGCCAGTCCAAGCCCCTCCTTACTAAGGTCAGAGCTGGTAGGAGACACACAGCAGATTGGTCTCTGCCAAAGCAGGAGCCTGGACTCTTTCCAGTGCTCCGCCTAGTAGCAGACAGAAACGTCAGCCACCTTTTCCCAAGCACCCAGTAGACACCAATCCTTGAGCTCGGTACTCAGCATGGCAGGCTCACACAGGGCACATGCCAGCCTCCCGGGCCCCTGCCATGTGCCCCCTTCCTAGAAGAGAGACTGAGGTCCCAAAGGCTGGCCTGCACCATCTCACAATGCCTGACTCCAAAGTCTGTTTTCCCTGTTACTGCACTTCCTTCGTAAGCTCTGGGAGCTTCTCACCAATGCCAGCTGTGTCCGCCCTTAGCTTTTTTCCCAGCCCCCCGCCCCACCCCGCTGACCACCACACTTGCTGCTCTCTGCCCCCAGGCCGGCCCCCTCCCAACTCGCCTCTCCAGATGGCCACGGTGCGGTCTGATGGAAGGTCCAGCACACTTGGTACCACCTGTTGCAGTCCTCCACCCGCCGCCCCACCCTCATTTACCTGAACTCCTACCGGGGCTCTCTGCCTCGGTGTTTCCCAAACATCCTCCCAGATCCTTGGCTTGCAGCTGGAAGAGCAGGTGTTCAAACCTCCAAATCTTTCTGGGTGGGTTCAGATACCCCTTCCAGGAAGCCTTCCCAGACTTCCATTGCAGAAGGAACCTCCTTGTGCTGGGTTCCCACAACATTCTGTGCCCATCATCCTCCCAGCCATGCTGCATATGACAGCGGGGGCTCTTCCCACCAAGGGCTGGGCCTTATGCCCTGATCGGCCAGGGCTCAGCTCAGGGCGGGCTTCAACACCCATGAGTGAATGAATGAATGACGACATGAGCAAACGAGCCCCCGCCTCCCGTTTCAAAGGCAGAAGCTTTATTGATGCACCTGAGACAAAAACCTGACGTACAAAAGGGGTGGGCATAGGGCTGAGGATGGGCCCCACGGTCCCCAGGGTCCTAATCCAACGCTGTGTGTCCCTCCTTTTCCTTCTGCCTTTCTTCCTTGTGCTGCTTCTCCAGCGGCCCACACAGATCCTGGAAGACAGCGAGAGGGGAGCCCGGTGACGCGAGGGGCTCTTGTCAGGGCAAGGGTGGATGAGCTCCGGACTGTGGCGCCAGCTCAGGGACCCGGGGCGCGGCACCGTCCAGCTCTGAGCCTTAGCTTCTTGCACTCCAGATGGGGGCTCGAGGCTTTACAAACGGCTGCTGTGTACTGAGGACTCGCCAAGCCCCTGGGCTGATCTGGATTCCTGAGCACATGATCTAACCGAGGTTCAGGGGGCCTTGTGGCCTGTCCGCGGTCCCCCGCCAGTGGGTGGGGAAGGCAGGCTGCACACCAGGGCCAGTTGGTGCCGTGTGCCCAGTGCTTTCCCGCAGCTGCCAGGAGTGGGGACTGGAGGAGCTTTAGGCCGCTGGTGGGCAGGAGAGATGGCCTCGGGTGGCCAACGGAGACCTTTTTACTTTGATAATAGAAGTATTTCATGCATATCTGAAAAAGTATAGCCCGCTCAGAAGCTCTTCGTTTTAGAGATTGTCTCATAGGACACGACCAAGAAAAGCCTCTCCCTGAACAGGGGTTGAGTGGCAAGTATTAAGGAGATTATTACACAGGTAATTCTCAGTTATAGCAGAAATCAGGGTGGTGGTCATGGACTTGGGGCATTTGGGGGTGGCTAAAAGCCACCATAGCAACTGCCCATCCACAGGTGTCTGATGTCTGGGGTGTGGCCGGCAGGTGTAAGCGATAATCACCCGTGTGTGTTTCCCTGTCAAGTTCCCACTGCCACCCTATTCCCGCTGTTCCTCCTCCCTTCCTGTCCTCCCCGTTTCCCAGGGACTTTCCCTCCTGGGCCCTCAACTTTTGGGCCTCTGGGGAGCTCAGCTGTCCCTGGAGGGAGGCAGGTGCTTAAAAGTAGGTCATCCTGCCTCACTATGCAGCCTTGGCCGGCAGGTCTCCCTATCCAGGCCTCTGGGGCTGCCCCCAGGCAGGATGGCTCCGACGGTGGGCATAGCCTAGTCTGCATTGCGTTCACCTTTTTTGCATCGGTGTAATTGATCTCCGAAGTCTGCATGCCTAAGCACGTGATGGCTTCATGGAAAACTCTCATTTGTTCCTCAGTCACTTCTGCCTTGTCAGCTGCAGGAGGGAACAAGGGGGCTGGGTGAGCATGCCGGGGGCCTAGCTGGGGCTCAGGTGTGGGCAGGGGTTCTGGGGGCCCAGCCACAGAGGCAGGTGGTCTGCTGGGTGAGGTCTGGTTGGGGTGGACATTGGAGGGGTGCTTACCATAGAAGGACAGTCCCTTGTTCTGCTCATCTCTCAGGGAGTGGCCCAGCATGAAGATCCTGGGATCTTTGGTGAGCAGGAGATCGGCAAACTCTTCTTTGCCGGACTCTGGAGAAGAAAACCTCTGGGTGAGACCACATAGCACAATGGGTCTGATCACAGGTGAGGGACCATGAGTGTTCCCGTGGACCCCCAGCGGTCAGTGAAGGCTGGGAGTTCACCTGAGCCCTGCGACCCTCACTCCCTCTGTGTGCCGGGCCTTGCAAAGAGATGTGGAATTGTAGGAGCCTCGTGCCGACTATGGCTGTCAGGACCTTTCTCCCCATTTTCCAGATGAGAAAAGTGAGGCCCACACAGGAGCCTCAGGGCTGCCCAGGGCTGTTGGTTTAATCCCACCAGCATTTGTATGCTCCTACTATGTGCCCTCTCTGGGGCGATGGTGGAGACAGGAGTGGGGTCATTCCCTACCTGACACAGACTGCCACCCTCAGGTCCCAAAGGGGAAAGAGTAGTGGAGAGAGGCAGGTGTACAGCCAGCCCTCGGTTTGAATTCTAGTTCTAATTACAGGCTGTGTGACTTCAGGGAAACAACTTGACCTCTCGGTTTCTCTATTTCCTCAGCTGATCGCTGTCAGGTCCTTCTAAGATTGTGAGTCTCAGGTGGGTTAATCCTAGTAAAACTACTTCAAACAGTGCCTGGCACATAGAGCTCAAATCTGGGGACAGTTATTACTCCTTATTACAACGTGGAGACCCTGGGACATCAGAAATGTAGGAAGAGGGCCTGTCCTGGGTTCTCTGTGGCTTCGCCCCAGCACTGACCCTATTGTCTGGTCCATCCACAGGTCCCCATGACACACCGCAATCCTCCCGTTGGTCCTCACCGTGTTTGGACAGGGTCCCATTTTCCCTCTGGACCTTCAGACAGGTAGAGTTATGGATGCAATGATTCCCACTAAAACCAGAGAGAAGGAAGGGGGAAACAGAAAGATCATCAAGGGGAAGAAGTGGACAATCACTGGTCGCTATCATCGAGGGCAAGAGTTGGGGCCGAGTAAACCGCCCTCCCCATCCACGGATGAAAAGGCTGAGGTCAGGAGGAAGGAGGGACTTGCTCAAGGTTTTCCAGCAGCTAGGAGCAGAAGCCTGGGGCTGGGGGCGAGCTAGCATGTGGGGGTCTTACATGGTTTGGTACTCCCTGAGCAGTATTGTGTCATCTGTATGGTTGGGCTCCAAGTAAAAGAAGCCCGCTTGGAGCATTCCAGCCAACTGATTGATGTCTGGGTTGTGGAAGGCGGCGGCGATACAAAACCACTTGCCAGAGATCTGGGGAGAAGCCAAGAGTTGATGACAGAGGCTGGGAGCCGAATGCCCCTTCCTGCCAGCCAGCCAGGTACAGAGATGTCCCCCTCCTTTTTGCACGCAGGGAGACTGGGGCCCCAGGCGAGGAGGGCACGTGCAGGAGCTCACTCTGAGGGTCAGGCACCTCCCCCAGACACTGGGTGGCCCCTCCGGGCCCAGGACAGGATGTCCCCTCTGAGGGAACTTGCAATGAGGCTTCTGAGTTAGGAAGCAGAAGAATGCCTCCAGAGCCTGGTCAGAAGGTCACCCCAGGACCCAGGAGAGAAAAGGGCAGAAGCAGGCAGAATCAGACAAGGGGGGCCGACCACAAGCCAGCGGGAGAAGGGGAGCCCAGGGAAGGAGGCGGCTGCCCCCTGGCGCTCAGGGGCCGAGGGACGCACCTGGTCCAGGGTGGCGTTGGTGATAGGCGCTGCTGTGAGGTTGGCACACGCTGGGCTCTGGGCATCCAGCAGAGGAAGGAGGCTCAAGGCAGCAAGGGCCCAGGACAGCGCCATGTCTAGATGGAGAGACACCTGGAGTCAGGCAGAACTGCTGGCTGGAGGGTAGAGTGACTTTTATAATGAGCTGTGGGAGGAGCCCTGGAGCCCTATGGTGACACAATCCATGAGCTCTTGTGAAATGCTTTGCACAAACCCTTCCCTCCCTCCCCCAAAGCCCACTGTAGCTAAAGCCTCCAAGCCTGGGTTTAATTCAGAACCCTGACCTGAAGGGTTACAGGGGCCCCAAGGTCAGGCTGTTCAAAGCCAAGAGGGGTGTGGGCTCTAGTGGTATCATTAAACATGTGTAGATTTCAACAGAGGGAACTCTAAGCAAGCTAAGAGGTTTTTTTTTTTTTTTTTCATTTTGTTTTGTTTTAAAGATTATTTATTTGAGATAGAGCAGAAGAGCCAGAGCAGGTGGGAGGGGCAGAGGGAGAGGGAGAAGCAGGCTCTCTGCTGAGCAGGGAGCCTGATATGGGGCTCCATCCCAGGACCCTGAGATCACGACCTGAGCCCAAAGCAGACGCTTTACTGACTGAGCCACTCACTTGGCCCTGTTTTGTCTTGTTTTAAAAGCTCTTAGGTTTTTTACCCAATTTGTGTCTCCCTGAGCATCCAGAGTGAAAGCCAACCACAAATCAAATGCTGAAAGTGATTCAAATAGTCCCAGGCTAGGTGGGGTGGGGGTGGGTGATGAGGAAGGGCTCTGGGGCAGGTGTGAGGGCATGAAGGCAAACCACTGATTCCATTCCAGCTGAGTGTGGTGACAACCATGGAGGAACAAAAGTCCACTGGGGGAGGAGGGCTGCCAACCCAGCCTCAGAGGCAGGGATCCTTCTAAAAGGAGGAGGTGTCCAAGTTACACGTCTATTTCCAGTAAATGTGGTGTTACCTGAACTAGCTCCCAACATCTAAAACAAGAAATGATGCACATGTGGTCTCCACCCCCTGCTGTGGAACAGGAAGGTGGGCTCTGTTGTCACCAGGAGGTCCCAGGCCCCAACAGTGCCCAGCACGCCAGATGCGCGCATCCACAGTCCACGACCGTTTCTGCCTGACCGGGTCAGATCTTTAGCCCTATGAACAAATACTTCCCAAAAGCCTTCTTATGTTATGTTACAGTTTTGTATCCCTGTTCGTTTCATATATTTTGAGTCATTTTCCATGTCTCCGTGTAGTTAGTGGTTATAATTTTAACGGACGCACACCCCTGTCGTGCTCTTCCTAGGTTCCCCATACTTAATGATGCCCTCTCTTTATATCCGTAGCATTTTATTTTTTTCCAGCTTAATAGAGAGAGAATTGCCTCTAACATTTCATATGGTGATGTTTCCTTGGAATGCCACGTGTCAGAAAGTGACCGAATCCCTTTCTACCATACCCTACCATTCAAGAGAGAGGAAAACATGTCATAGACAAGACTACGATGTTATTCGAAATAGCCAAAACCTAGAAACAGTTCAAATGCCAGTCATCAGGAAAATGGAAAGACACATTGTAACAGTTTCATACAGGGAATATTATGTAGCAATCAAAAGGAACCAACTACTGGCATATAAGACAACAGCCATGAATCTCCAAAACATTCTGCTGAACAAAAAAAGCCAGACTATTTGGTTCATAAGCACATACTTATGTGCTTATGAACCTGTTTGGTTCCAGGTACAGAATGTTCTCGAACCCCCCAAATGGATCTAGAATGGCAGAAGTCAGACCGGTGGTTGCCTAGGGCAAGGAGGGCAGTCTGAGGGCCAGAGGTTGGAAGAGCACTTTCTGAAGTCTGTGGCCGTATGCCCCATTTCCACCGCACGGGTGGTTACGCGTGGTACATTTGTGAAAACTCACTGAACTGTAAACCTAAAATGTGTGTGTGTGTGTGTGTTTTTAATTTATTTGACAGAGAGAGATCACAAGCAGGCAGAGAGGCAGGCAGAGAGAGAGGAGGAAGCAGGCTCCCTGCTGAGCAGAAAGCCCGATGTGGGGCTCGAACCCAGGACCTGGGATCATGACCCGAGCCGAAGGCAGCGGCTTAACCCACTGAGCCACCCAGGCGCCCCCTGTGTGTGTTTTATTGTATGCCAATTACACCTCAATTAAGCTGATTTAAAAAAAAAAAAACTCTCTCCCCAAAGAGAGATGACAAAACACATGACAAATCAAGAACACGAACACTGTTTAATGTGGGGTCAATTTGGCGACACACAGATGAGTCCCCTCCTCCACATCCTTGTCAGAAGTGGGATTTCCTTTTCTCTTTGCTCTTTTTTTTTTTTTTTTTTTGCCAGCTCACTTGGTGTTTTGGATGGGCATTGCCCTAATTTGAGTCTTGAGAAAAGGAGTGGAGTTCGTCGGCAGGGAAGAGTGGAGGGCAGAGAGCGTGGGGCGTGTGGAGGACCTGGGGTCCGAGCAGCTGGCAGTGGGATGGCGTGGGAGTGACGGGGCCGATGCTGGAGAGGTTGGAGGGAACCGAGCCTGCAGGGCATAGGAGCCGGTCTGGGGAGTCTGCCCTGGACCCCGCAGGGATCAGGAGAAATGGGAAGGTTTTAAGCAAGGTGGGAGACGAGTAGTCCGATTTGCTCTTTAGAAAGTTCCGTCTGTCTGGGCGGGGAAGATTGGTGGGTGAGGGTAGGGGACCGGCTTGGGAGAGTACCCAGGTGCTGTCCCAGTGGTCCCGGTGTGAGATGATGCTACTGGGGACAGACTGGAGACACTGCTTCTCTCAGCGGGGAGCTGACTGTTACATGGAGAGCACCCCGTTACCCTGGGCCATGGGGCTTCTGCTCAGAGCTTTAGAGGATGTCCCGTACCACACACGCGCGCACACACACACACACACACACATCCATGCACACGTCCATGCACACACACAAAAAGTTTATTAAATAACAGAGAAGCCCGCCTGTCACTGGGGATCTGGTGCCCGGTACTGGCACGAGAGGGACCCACAGCCCTAAACCTCCTTCTTCACAACCAACGCTGGTCAGGCCCCAGGCCAACAACTCTTCCCTCTTGCGCCCTGTCCTTGAATCACACTCGGTGGCCCTGTGTGTGCTGAGTAGCGTAGAGAGAAATGAATGATTTCTCTTGCAGCGGGTAAATGGAGCGCCACTCAGAAGGAAGGAGGGGTCCTCGCTGTCACTCAGGTACCCCTGGAGGTCTCCGTCTCCTCCCAAGAGGCTCTCTGAGTTGCTCCTTCAAGTGCACCCAGCACCACCTCCCACCCGATGCAGTACCGTTTTCTCTATCTTCCTACATTTCAGGGATCCCTTAGTACTTCTGTGGGACGAGCATCTGGACACCCTCCCTGCCCGCCCCTCCAACTGGCCCAGGCCCAATGCCAAGAGAAGTTTGGCAGGAAATAAAATGAAAAGCAATCAGGGTCATGCAGGATGGTGGTAAAGTAGTGTCCTGGCTCGACCACCTGCTAGCTCTGTGACCCTGGGCAACTTACTCACCTTCTCTGTGCCTCAATTTTCCCATCTGTAAAATGGGGATACAGAGAGTAGTTTCTTTATCTGGTTGTTAAGGGGATTAAATCAGTTCACATTTGTAAAGTGTGTAAATTGTGTATATGGCTAATACACAAGTGTGTTTCATTAAATGAAACACACTTGTGTATTAGCCGTAAAAACCATCACCATCGGTTTAATGTCAGGCTGGGATGGGAGAAAAAACAGACTCCTGCATTGCACGTACAGTTCCATAATGGTGGGTTACATCCCACATCTAAAGACATTAAAGTGCAAAAACAGGCCGATAGGAGGTTGGAGAAAACAGGATACTTTCCCCATTGGTTGGGTAAGGAAACAAATAGGTAAGAGAGGTCAGGGGAAAGGTGAGGTTTAGATCATCAGGGCACTGTACCCATTCAGAAGGATCTGTCTTCCGAGAAAGCCACTGGATACGTGTTTCCCCGCCAAGGCCAGGACTGAGCTCTGTGTCTGACGACTCATTTGTGGTCTTCGGCATGGACAGCCACGAAAATACATTGGCAGAGCCAAAGATCCTAATCAGGAACCTTGTGTCTGGGCTGAGGAAACACTCAAAAAGATTTGGTCGTGTTCAAATCCTGTTTTGTGATCTTGGCCAACTTACATAACCTCTCTGGACTTGAATTCCTTCATCTGAAGAGCCGCGTAGTAACATGTGTCTCAAGAGGGTTGTGGTGAGATGAAAACGTATCACACCCCAACAGGGCTTCTGCTCATAGTAAGTGTGCAAGACCCCGTAGCTGCGATTATTTGGAAAGGTGCTACGTATTGGGTTGAACTACAGGAAACTGCCTCTTTATAGAGCGATTGAATACCATTCCTTGTGAGACGATTCACCCCGCTATTACAGAACAATAGCTCAGACTGTCGTAGAAAGCAGGGAAGGGCTTAGCACCCCCGTTGTGCAGAGGGAGAAACTGAGGCCCAGAGAGAAGGAATGACTCACCCAAGACCACGTCCCGGTCAGGAAGCAGGGCCTGGAATCCACCTGCCAGCCTCTCCCCTTCTTGCTTGCCCTTCCGTCCTTTTCCCAGCACGGGGCAGCTGGTCATTGGTGGAAAGTGACTGTCCATGGCGGTAATTTGATTCATTGTGGACAGAGCAAACACAGGATGGCCCCACTGGGAAGTCTACTCTGGCTGTTTCCTGACACTCAGTTGTGAAACGGGAGACTGGGAACCGTGGCGGCTTCCCGCCCCCAAAGAGCTGCATTCTGGTTCCTAACAATGTTCTACCTGCCCCTGCTGGGAAAGAGCTGGCCCAGGGTCAGGGGCCTCACTGGCCACCTCCCAAAAGTCCTCTTGGAATGCCGACTGGGAGTCGTGAGTGTCACGGTCTTCACATAACCATCCTCGTCTTCCCCTCTGGCCCTTCCTTTTGACTCTCTCCCCTGCTCTGGGACCTCAGAGCCCTGCAGAGGCTGCTGACCCCCTTGCAGTTCTGACCGTGGCACAGACCTCCTTCCTGTCCTCCAGCCCAGCCAGTTGCCTCCTGGACAGCTCCAGCTCAAACCCAGCTCCTGTATTACCAGCAGCTTGTTCTATACCCAGCCCA